AAGGAAATTGCTGTAATTGATTAATTTAGCAAAAGCAAAACTATTAAAACACCTCATACCTTTCTCTCCTTTACAAGCAGATTTCTCAGCCTCGCCTCTTGCTTACTCTGCGAGCTGGACCAATCCAGTCAATCACTTCATTCCACAAAACAGAAATTGATACCTAGTGAAGTCCAAGGTTATATTAAAATGAACACTTTTGTAAGGTTCTGGACCACCTGGTATAGAGGCGAGATCACTAGGCTTGGCGCTCAGGTCATATGTAAAGGCGCTTTGTAAACTATAAAATGCTAAACAAAAGTATTGGCTGTAGCTACTATTTCACATGCACTACTCTGTATCCTCAACATACCTCCCTTCTAATCCTTATCACATATCTATGAATTACTACCTAGATTTTACATCTGAATATAAACCTCACTGAGACTCAGCAAGGTTGAAGGATTTACCCAAGTTCAGAGAGTTTTCTCTTGGCTACACTACACTGCTACTACAATATTGATATAAGGAATTAATATTAAATCATTCAACAAAAATTTATTAAAGCTCACTGAAACCACTCAATGGATCAGGAACAAGGCATATAATGATAATGAATACTATAAAATGAACGTGTGTCCCCCTAAAGTTCACACGTTGAAACCCTAATACCTATATTTGGAGACAGGGCTTTTATAAAAGCAGTTAAAGCTAAATGAGGTCATAGGGGAGGGTCCTGATCTATTAGGGTTTGTCCCCTTCCAAGAAAGTCCACAGACCCCAATTCCTTTATAAATAAATGTTGACATTTTAAAATAAAATTATCACACAACCCCTATGTTCCCAATAGAATTTAAATAACATATTAGAAATTCACTATCATTTATTAAAAATGACTTCAATTTAATATAATTTTTTTGTTATTGAAATCTTGTTCCCACGCCATTCTCCATTCCTAGAATTTTATTCAATGTGGTATTTTTCTAAGTTTGAAAGCCTTTCAATATTCAAATTCACTCAAAATAAATATTACCCAAAATAAAAAGTAAATTTTTACTATCAATAAGGTTTATAACAATAAAACTTTTGATAACAATTACACATATTTAGTTCAAACTACTGAAGAATGCTATTTATTGTTAGAAAGATGGGCTCTTATGTCAATTCTATTCCTATTTTAGGTTTTACAGAAACATTCTTCATGAATAGATGAAAATCGAGTTTTGTTATAAATCACTGATTCTTTTGATTTCTGAATTGCATGACAACAGTATCATAGTAATATTACTCTCAGATATTTTATTTTTTATTTTTTTAAAGACTTATTTTTTTAAATTTATACCATACCTGGGGTACAGGCCAGATGTGCGGGAGGGTGAGAGGATTCACCAGAGACAGAGTGGGGAACAGAACAGGCAGACTGACTGAAATACACTGCTGAGGGGAGCAGCGGGTGAGTCAGGAGAGGTCTGCTGTGCCATGTGTGTAGTTCCCTGGCTGGGGATTGAACTTGGGCTGCAGAGGCTGCAGACAGCTTCGCAGTGCTGCGCTCAACCACCTGCACACCAGGGAGGTTCCTCTCAGATATTTTAAAACATCAGGTAACAACTTTGATTTTTCCTTCAACTATGTTGAAAGCAACCACCTGAATTAGAAAAGGATTGATTTTCCAGTCATTACAGTCAATCACCTCCTACTTTCTGAGAAGTAGAATGATTAGTCATCTCACTTAACAGTTCTCATCCTCAGATGGAGCGCTGTCACTAAAACAAAAAGACTGAATGGGAGAAAATATTTGTACATCAGACAGCTGACAAGGGCCTAATACCCAAGAGGAAGAAGAACCTTCCTACACTGTTGGTGGAAATGTGAAGTTTTCTCAAAATATTAAAAATAGATCTACTATACGACCTAGCAATTCCACGGAAGAAAAATATAGGGCTTTTTAAATTTTACTGTAAAGTGAGTTTATGGTATTGAAAAGGGGGCGGGATATGCATCCAACTTGTACTAGGTTCCTTAGAGAGAATTTAAAAATCAATCACTCTATCAAAGTCTGTAATGGCTCAGAGGTGTTTTTGCTGCAAGTAAGGGCCAGCGTGTACAAAGAAAAGGAACTCAGTGTCTTTCATGCATTAACTATTCTAGGCAAGGCCACTAAACAGGTGGTTACATAAATTGCAGGTGACTCAAAAGGTAGGTCATCAAATCTGAGGGGAACACCATTCAATCCACAATAATCTAACACCCTTAATAACCATAAGAAATCAAGCACTTAGATTCCTATGTATGCTGTGAACATTTTTTAGGACATGAATTTTTTTCCCAAATAAAATCAAAGAGATCACCCCGTAGTTCTTCACCTCAAAATGTGAACAGTCCCCAGTTTCTCGATGTGATGCCCACTACTATTTAATTTCCCGGTCGTGGCCCATTTTGGGTCTTTTCTCTAACCGTAGACAAAAATAACCTTTCAAAGTAATCTCCTTCCTATCCTTCAACAATGGTTAAGCACAGGCTCCCTAGTCTGCCTCGGGTGGCTTTTCACCACCTGGTGCTCCGCAGACCTTCTTCCAGTTTATCACCCCAGAATGCAAGGGGTCTGGTTGAAGCGGAAAAGCTTTTATTTAGGAGTTTTATTAGGACTTCAGCCTGGGGGACACACACCCAAGAAACTCTTGAGTTGTGTGCCCGAGTCACCCACACTGGGGAGCGCTTACATCCCAAAAAGGCGGGTTAGTTCACATGCCATGGGTCGTTTTGTACAAACCAGGTTTTCAGTTTTGACGGATGGAAGCTGGTGAAGCAGTGACAGGCTGAGCTGCAGTCCTGGGTGGTTTCTGGGCCAGGCAGGGTTACTTCATGTCCTCCCGGGAGGGCACGACTGGAACAGGCCTGGCCATCCCAGGGGCCGCCCCCCCCCCCCCCCCCCCCCGTCTGTGGGCCGTTAGTTGTCCCGGCTGCAAATGACGCCAAAATGTTTATTTCTTGTCAAGTTTCATCACGCAATAAAAACCGCGGCTCCCTGCCGGTCTGCCCCGAGCTGCTGGGGTTTCTGACCGGCCCTGCGGCGTGGGACCTGGACCAGCACCTGGACCAGCAGGAAGGACGCTGCTGGGTTTCGGGGTTACTCGTGCTCCCTCCTGCGGGGGAACATTCTGCCCCCCAGGTCCTGGCGTCTGGGACATTTCCTCTTGCTCCCGATGCCTCAGATCGCATGTCCGACCTGAACGCCTCCTGTCCAGGCGCGCTCGCTGCCTCGCACGTCCACGGGGGCCCAGCTCGCTCTTGGACCCTCGCCGGGGGAGTGGGGGGGACCCTCGCGGGGGGAGTGGGGGGCCCTCGCTGGTGGGGAGGGGTGACCCTCGCGGGGGGAATTGGGGGAACCCTCGCTGGGGGGGAGGGGCCCTCGGGGGGAGAAGTGGGGGGAACTCTCGCGGGGGATTGGGGGCCCTCAGGGGGCAGTGGGGGACCCTCGCTGGGGGGTGAGGGGGGACCCCCACGGGGGGAGGGGACCCTCGGGGGGAGAAGTGGGGGTAACTCGCTGAGGGAATGGGGCCCTAAGGGGGGCAGTGGAGGACCCTCGCTGGGGGGAGTGGGGGTCCTCAGAGGGGCAGTGGGGGACCCTCGCTGGGGGGGAGGGGGGATCTTCGCGGGGGGAGGGGGACTCCGGACCCGGGCCGGGGCCAAGGCCGGGCGGCGAGGGCTGTCGGGGGCAAGGCCGGGCGGGCGGCGCCCACCGCGCAGGGGCAGCGAGGGAGACCCGCGGGCAGGGCCGGGGAGAAGCCCGGGGTGACGCTGCCCGGCGCCCACACACGCTAGCGCCCCCACACCCCAGGCCGGGCTCTCCGCGGGCTCCACCCGCCGCCCCGACACCGCGCGCCCTCACGATCACGCCCCGCCGCCCCGAGGACAGTTCCCGGCCGCAAAACGTGGACACCGAGGCACGCGAGACGGAGCATGCGCGGGGGCGGAGCCTGAGCCGGGGGCGGGGCACGCGCAGGGGGCGGGGCAAGGGAAGGAACCGGTGCATGCGCAGGGGGCGGAGCACGAGTAGGGACCGGTGCAGGTGCAGGGGCCGGGCCATGCGCCGAGACGGAGCATGCGCAGGGGGAGGAGCACGCGCGAGGGCGAAGCAGGCGCAGGAGGCCGAGCAGCTTTGGGGCGGAGCAGGTTTGGGGGCGGAGCACACGCGGGGGCTGCACGCGCGACCCGCCCTCCCTCTCGCCCCTAGCCTGGCCAGGACGCATGCGCAGCTGCCGCGTCGCAGGACGCCCCGCCCCCTGGCCGCGCCCCCTGGCCGCAGGTCAGAGGCCGCGGCGCGGGCGGCGGTGACGCGCCCGGAAGCGCCCGGCGCACCGTGGGGCACGGGCTGTGCGAGGCGGCGACGGCCACGGCCGGGCGCCCCGACGGGAGCGGCCCGGGACTCGCTCGGAGGCGGCTGCACCCCTGGCGCGCCGCGGTCGCCGGCGGCCGCATGAATCGGGGGACCATGCCCCAGCCCGGAGCGTGGCCGGGCGCGAGCCGCGCGGAGAAGCCGGCGCTGGAGGCGGGGGCCGCGTCCCCCGGCCCCGTGAGAGCCGCGCGGCCCCCGGCCGAGCAGTGAGTGGCGGGCGCGTCGGGGCGGGCGGCGGGCGCTGCCCCTCGGGAGGCCGGGCTGGAGGGTCGGCGGCCGGAGCCCCCGCACCCTCGCGTCCGAGGGAGGCCGTCGGCCCGGGGGCGATTGGAGAGCCCTGACCCCGGGTCCCGGCCCGGGTGATGGGCGGAGGGCCCCCTTCCCGGGCCCGGTCAGCCCCCGCCCCCGCCCGCTGTGAGCAGCCGCACCGCTCTGAGGTGAAAACCAAGAAAGCTCCAGAAGCTCGGGAAACCCCGGAGGCGGTCGAGTGCTCCTCCGAGCCGGGGCGGGAAGGAAGTGAGCCGCCCCAGGCCCCGCCACGGCGGAGTCGGGCCGCGCGACGCGTGCGCCCCACCTGCGCCCCAATGCCGCGGCCCCCGCGACGGCTTCCCAGATACTCCCCTGCAGTTCTTTATGTTTAACCTAGCAAGCCCGTGCCGCGACGTCAGCCCCTGAGCGAGCTGTAGAGAAGGCTGCCTACATGGGCAGCAGTTTCAGCGGAGTTTGGGGGTGGGGAGGTGGAGGCAGAATATAAACTTGGAGAGTGAAAACGTTTTCTGCACTTTCAAACCCTGGGCACCTAGGAATGCCTTTGGAACTTCACAGTTGAGGGGCGCACTCAGATCACCGCCTTGACAGATAGCCTAGTTGGCTGGGAAGTTGAATTAATGTCAGTTGCGCTTTTAGAGCTGCTTCTTTTTGGAATTTCCTTAAAAGACGTCTGTGGTTCTTTACCAAGGGCTTTGCCATTCTTTTTACTGCGCACCCAAACCCCTTTGGAGTGGCATGATCCACACTGAATGGGTTGCTGGCTACTGGGAAGGGAAAGGTTGAGAGTCTAGGTCTCAGACTTTTTGTCCTAGGAACTAACCCGAGTGAAACTAGACAGGTGGGGACCACAGGTTACTGAAGAGGTGTCAGCATCTCTTTGTTGGCAGCTCTACACTGTTGCTGCGGGGTTAGCTGTACTTAAAGAATCCAGATATCTGACTTTTGTGTGAAATTACCTGACTTTTATATAGTAGCATTTTATTTTTTAACTGAAACTGCTGAGCAGGCCCATGCCTATCACCTGTAGTTACATATTTGTACTCTGGATCTAGAGACCTACCTCAGATTCTGCAGAGGGGGCAGTAGGGGGACTTTTGCCTCTTCTCCTCCATAGCCCATGCTACCTGGTTCATCCCCATGGTCAGAGCTGTGCCCCCACTCACAGGCCCTGTCCCTCAGATATTGCATCTCTACCTGGGCCCAAGCTGTGTTGTGCCCCCAGGGAATGCAGAAATTTTGAAACCAGAATCATGTTCCCAAAAGTATACATGGTTATTTGGCAGGTTTTGCTGCTGGAGGTAGTTTGCAAAATGTGCTGAGCACCTTGGGAAAGTGACCCACTTTCCCGAGGTTAGGTTTCGCGGCACAGATGTTGCTTTTCTCTTCATTTAGTGGAATTTTGGACTTAGGGCTGAAAGGCATCTGCAAGACCCAGGCTGGGTTTGTCACTTTTACACATTAGGAAACTCAGTTGCAGATTCCATAGGTGCAATTTGGCCTGCACTTGGACTTCCCCATCTCTGTAGACCTCCTCAGCAAAACCAGGCAGAGGACATGATTTAAAATCACAGCAAGCTGGGGCTTCCCTAGTGGCGCTGGGGTTAAAGTCTCGGTGCTATCAAGCTATCTCAGCCACTGCGGCCAGGGAGCTGACCCACATGGCGCAGCAGACCTCTCCTTTCTCACCTGCTGCTCCCCTCAGCAGTGTATTTCAGTCCATCCGCCTATTCTGCTCCCTACTCTGTCTCTGGTGAACCCTCTCACCCCCTCACCTCTGGCCTACACCCCAGTTCTTGTATGCTTAAATAAATCTTAAAAAAAATAAAATCACAGCAAACTTCAGATTTTTTCCCCCTGAACTAGATGTCTAGTTTGTGGTTTATTAGGGTTTAGTTTCTTTTTCTTCCTGCCTTTATTGTCTTTGATCTCCTTCTCTTGTAACTCTTATAAGAGAAATGAGACACAGAGAACCCGGAGGTCAGCTTCTGAACATCCCATCTTAGGTTTTAGGCGTTCTTGCCAGTTTTGTGGGCAATAAGGCTGTTTCTCCTTGCTGTTATCTTTAGGGATAAAGAAACTCCTGCATCATACAGATAAGCACTGCTTATTTCTTAGTTTGCATGTTAGTTTTTACATGATCTATGCTGTCTGGTGGGTAGGTGCAGATTTAAATAAATCACGTAGTAGCTAAAATAAGAGCTAAAATAGTTTTAAAAATAAAGGTTTTCAAAAGTCTCTGTCAGGGTCCTTCTTCTTACTCAGAGCTGAGGTTGCCCTGTAAGTATTTATCTCTGGAAATGTGAACACTGTGAAACAACAGATATTTTGAGATATCCTGCGAGTCATTTTTGTCACAGCTGGTGAACAGTAATTGTGAGTACAAATCAGGAACCAGCTTTCGCAGCCATTGTGCATTCGGGATGTGAGTCTTCAAGAGTGCAGTGGGAGATGCAGCTCACTTCCTGAGCACCTCTGTCGGGTACCTGGACTCTGACCGGCTCGCAGCATTTCATGAGGGAGAGAAAAAATAGTAGGAAAGTGCGACTTAAAACCCCATGATAAGCTACTTTATAAATCTCACTCTAACTTTTCTTCCTCCCCTTCTTCCTTTCTGCCTTATTTCTCTTCCTTTCTTTTCCTAGTTCATGTGAGAGCTGTGGTTGGCTTGCTCATCTGCTGGGCAGGGTTCACGGGATGACTTAGGGAACGTTTGAACAAGTCATAGCTCAGACCAGATTTAGTTGACTTTTCCTGACACTTGCTCACTGCTCCTGTCTGTAGACCTCTGCACTCTCCCTGCTCTCCCCACCCCTACATTTGACACTTACGCTCTCCACTTCGTGCCCTTAGTTAGGTTAATCCAAAGGACTGAGATGGCCATTTGACATAGTTGGTGGCCAGGCCAGACATGCGTAAGGAATTGAGAGTGAGAAGTCATCGATTGCCCTCTTTCTGCCGGAAGCTGCAGGGGGACGGGGAAGGCGTAAGCAGGGTTTGAATCTTGGGTCCACAGATTGGCTGTGTATGTGGGGGGCTGAGGGCATGGATGGAGAAACATATTGTGAACACCTGAAATCGAGGGCAAAATTTTATGTATATTTATGTTTTTCTGGTCTAAGATCTGTGGATTCTCAAGGATTGGGAGCAAATATTTAGACCATTGTCCTTGGCTAACGTGCTATTGTGTGAACTATTGTGTGAATATCCCCACCCACCTCACACCTTAGCAGTGGCTTGGTGGGGTTGGGGATAAAGGTAGTTGGGATAACAGCTGCTCCCCCGGAACCTGCTGTGGAGTCCAGAGATGCGATGTTGCTGAGAATCACCCCTTTTGTTGAGGGAGCTGGACTGGACCCAGATACCTCTGGAAGTCACGTGAAGTAGAGTAAGCCGGTCATGGAAAGTCCACTTGCAGAAGGGAGGTGGAATTTTGGCCTGGGTGCCGGGACTTTCCTGTTGTTCACGTGTTGTTCACGTGTTGTTCATCTCTACAACTGCTAAGTGGTCGAGAAAGGCTGTGTTGAGTGGTCTTGCTTTTCCTGTGCCTGCGCGGGGAGGCGCGTCGGTGTCAGTCACACTGGCTAATACTGTCTCCCCAACACCGCCTCAGCACAGGCCAAGTGAGGCCTGAACTGCATCTTCAAGTCCAGAGAGCGGAACCAAGCCATACTCAGTTTAGCTCTTTTAGACAACTAAGGGGAACTTGTGCAAAGATTCTTCTTGGTGAGTGATTGAAATGCTGTCTTGGCTTTGCATGTGTTACTCTTGACTTTTTCCATGTCCCAGGTTTTCTGGTATCAGAAATTGAAAAATTGACTTTATGGAAATATCTTCCTTTTCACTGAGCTCTGTGTTTAGCTACAGCCTTTAATCTTGGGAATAGTATAATTTTGCCTGTATGTAATGGACATTGTAAAAGCAAGTATTAAAAACTATGATCGTTAGCAGGTCTTTGAAGAGAGCAAGAGGAAGGTTACAATTTAGAATGTAACTTACTTAGTAGTATATATTACCTTACAAGTAAGAAAGTATTTCGTTTCTAGCTTAAGAGAAAATGGGAACTTGAAAATACACACTTAAAAAAAAATACTGTGGTGCTGAACTAAGAATGTCTAAGTAGGAATTATCAGCAAAAATTCTCACCATTCCTTTACCTCTAGCTATTTTAGATTTCCAATTTTAAATATAATTTCGTTTTGTCATTTTCAACTTTCATATTTTGATACTTTGAAAGATTAGGGCAAAAGCTTATTGAATGGGGCCTCCCCGGTGGCGCAGCGGTTGAGTGCTGGGTTGCGAAGCTGCCCGCAGCCTCTGCGGCGCCGGTTCGATCCCCGGCTGCTCCCCGGCCACCGGAGGAGGGTCCCACATGGCGCGCAGACCTTTCCTGCCACCTGCTGCTCCCCTCAGCCGTGTCCTTCGGTCCTTCTGCCTGCTCTGCTCCCTGCTCTGGCTCTGGTGAATTCTCTCACCCTCCTGCGCTTCTGACTGTACCCAGTGCTTGTATAAACAAACAAACAAACAAATAAATAAATAAATAAAAATACATGCCTCTTAAAAAAAAAAAGCTTATTGAATGAATATTTTCTTAAATTATTTCTATTTTCCTTGCTCTCACATCTCTCAGTTGATTGTCCTTATTATTAGATGGGTCAGCATTTCATTATTTTGCTTAAATGTCTTCTTTTTGACCATCTTAATGGAGCTTTATTGCTTACCCTCTTTTCAAGGTGACCACAGCTGGAGGATCATTTTAAGGGTGGCCTTTAATAAGGGTCATTGTACAGCCTCCTCGCTGGCCTTGGGAAGTTAGCAGATGTCCTTGGTGGCTGTGCAAGTTGGCAAACATCGCGCACAGAATCTGAATGAAATCTAGGTGTAGCTGCGGTAATTTGAGAATCTTCTGGGCCTCCCACGTATCAGTTTTTGCTTTGCAACTTTTGCGTATTTTGAATCACTGTTTTTTTTATTTCCAAGAATCTCCCTTTCTACTCCAGGCATCCCTCCCTTCGCACTTCTGTTGGTTTCTCCCCATCCCTTGCCTGTGACCGCTCTGTGCACTGGTGCTGTGGCTGTTCTGAGGATGCGTGTTTGGAAGACCAGCTGGGTCGGGCAGTTGCGATTGCCTCTGAAAGGAAGACCAGAACTGGGGCCAGATAGAGGTGGTGCCAGATGCACACATAGCTTAGCTGCAGCCTTCCCTGGGAATACAATTGTAAACGCAGATGCATAGTCTGTCAGAACGAAGACCAGTGAGACAGTGAGGTGTCGGATGATCATCGAGGTCTTGTGCCCTCACCCTTGCTGAAGAGGAAGTGGCCTGCCCAAAGGCGAGCTTCTGGTAACGCTGTTATGAAAGTCATTCACTTAATTTTTTTTTTGTGGGAACAGAGTTTCTCTCCTATTTGACAAAACTAGGAAGGAGGCAGAAAGATACCGTGAAATAGCAAAGAGGAGCTAAGACATTTAGTCATTTATAATTTTAGGTGCTCGATGTATGTAGTCCCAGCGAACCTGGTTTGATTTCTGTTTACTTTTAACTTTGGCCGGGTCTTCTGGGGTGACAGCACACCTTTCCCTCGAAATCTCAGTGGAACCCCAGCCATGGAAAGTACCATTTCCCTGGTATCGTCCTCTCACCTTCCAACATTAACAAGGGGGGAGGGGATACACACACACACACCCCCCTCTCACCTTCATTTGGAAAGAAAAACAAAGGAGTAAGAGTTGATCATGGGAAGATTGTTACTACTCCACCCTGATGGATCTAGACTGAGGATTCATAAGGATCTCTAGCTTCTCTGAGTGCTCAGTTCTTTTACGTGCCTCTTCAGGACCATCTTTGGGGATGAGTGCTCTGTCATTCTGGTAGGTGGATAAGCTGGGTGCTGAGAGGTATGGTCACTTCAGCACCACGGTCACACATGCATCTAAAAGCTCTCGGTCCTGACTCCAGCCTGGCCTCTGCCCTGGCCTCAGACCCATTGCACCCCGTGCCCTGATGTCTAGGCAGAGGGAACAGACTGAGCCAGTCACAGGGGTGAGCCTGCAGGCTGGTCCCTGTTGGGAAGGCCTGGAGCAAGGCTGGAATGGCCCGTTCCATGCCTGCTTGGGAGCCATCGAAGGGTTTCTGTGGTGGGGCAGGTGGGTATCCTACACTCCCCGCCTCAGCTGCCTATCTGGATACCGCTCGTTCACCATCTCTCTCCTTCTCACCCCCTTTTCCACTGGCTGCAGTGGACATGGGCTCGAGGTTAGGGTGCCCAGGGAATAGGAGTAGGAGTAGCTCAGTCACTCGCTTATGTTCTTATTTTTCATGAACCTTATTAAATTCCTCCTTCCTGTCTGCCTTTTTTGCTTGAGCCTCCCGCCTTGTCTTCTGTGCGGCTGGTATGCTGTTGTGACTGGGCAGTGTAGGGGTCGAGGTCTGACTACTCTGTCCATCACAGTGTTTCCTTGTTTTTGGCTCTCGGTAACACCTGTCCCTCCTGAAGTACTTGGTGCCACCAATTCCTGAGCCTCCCGGGGTTCTGCAGGGTTTCCTGGCTTACTTTGGGCAAATCCCCTCCCCCGGCATCAGGGCTCCCTGTCCTCTGTCACTAGACTGCTCCTTCCTCCATTTCTGGACTGTTTCAGCTCTCATATGTCTAGTGGATTTGGCAAAGACAAAGTTGGTGTTTCTGTTTCCCATCTTTGTCATGTTGTGGTATAATTTCAGGGGAAAAGGAGGCATCTTAAAAACAGAAGTTCTTTCTTCTTCCTTGTCTAGCACCCACTGTGATTTTTCTCCCTTTCTGGTACTTGGTAGACTCACTAGATGAAACTGGAGACTCCTTAGACAGCAATTACCTATAAATTATCAAGTCAGTAGTAGTGGTAGCAGTTAAAGGATGTGGGATGGCAGGGACATGCTCAGCAGAACATGGGTGGCTGCTTGAATGTGGGGGTGAGGGAGCAGGGGGAGTTTGGGGAGGTATTTTAACTTTGAGGAAATGTTTCAGAGTAGATTTAGTCACCCATAAGCCCCTCCTTCTCCTTCACAGTATCTGTCAAAATCATAACCATTGACATGGTAATCATTTGTTTCATCTATGTAGTAATTGGTGTGCCCCTATCCTTGTTGTTAGAGTAAGCTATTGTAGAGCTTGCCTGTGCTGTGTTCAGGTCAGTGTGGGCACTCCCACCGTGCTTGTCACTTGTTAGAATCATCTCTGGACGTCATTCATAAGAGCCATGCTAAGATGCTTAGGTAGGTAGTTGAGGCATTAACAGCCATTGCAATTAAAGTGGCCTCAGAGCTATGTAGCATGATGAAAAGTTTTTCATTTAAAGGTAGTCCGAAGTGAAATGGTAGACACGTGAGAATCTGATAGGAGACCTGTATTTTATCAGTCTGTCACCACGCAATGTGAGAGTTAAACTTCACTGTGAATACATTTTTAAGTGGCTGCATATTATGGTAAGAGGGCAAATGTCTGTGCAACACGTTTTTGAAATGTCTAATTTGGTGTGATTTCAGTGAGGAGGACATGTATCGTGCTGCGGATGAAATAGAAAAGGAGAAAGAATTACTTATACATGAAAGAGGGTCATCAGGTATGTTTGGAATTGTTTCATTTACAGAGTTGTTACTGTTTATGGTAGAAAATGCAGTTAAACTGTGTCTCCATTTTCATGATATATTGACATGCACTTCTGGGAAGCCTTCCTGTGCATCTGGTCTTACCCACATCTTTCATTTTGCTGGAGTAAGTTTGGGGAAGGCTGATTCCTGAAGTTGTAAAATTTTAATGCACAAATTCTTCTGTGTTCTTTACATTCAGATTGTTTTCGCACCTCTGAGGATATGTTTAATCTTTTGACGCCACCCTTTCTCAGTTCTTGATTTCCTTATATTCTTAGGGGGAGAGTTTGGTTTTAAAATGTATTTCCCCTTTCAAGTGGATGGCCTCACTGAGAAGCGGCTGTGCACGGCTGTGCAGATGACCTCGTGAGCTTGATTGACTTGGAAGAAGAACAAGTGGTCGAGGGCTGCCGAGCGCCTATCTCCTCATTGTGTGTCCAGTGTTCCTGCTGAGTCACGCCTGCTCTCCGCGCCCCACCAGGCCCCAGGGCTGTTAGGGCCAGGCCATGCCGCTGGCCTCCTCTAGTGTGGCCCAGCAACGGGGGTTTGTGTGGAGAAGCACCTCCTTACTTCACTGGCTAGCCTTGTGCAGAAGCTGACTGGGGTCCTCCAACTTGGGGGTACACTATAGATGACTCACAAGTGCATTTTTCTCTCTCGTTACCTGAGTAATGTGTGTGTTCTTTTGGTTTGTCTTGAGAAACAGCTTCTGTTGACTTTATAGTTAACAAAAGTATTGTCATGGGTGTAACTAGGAACAAGTGGTACAAGTAGTGAGGGTTTTGAACATGGTTTTCAACTACTCCGCACCAGGTCTTGGTGGAACTCTTCACCCCGGAAGCCATTAGAGGTACTCCTTGTACTGGTCCAGTCCACCTGTGTTCTCAGGCCACGCTCTTTGGTCCCCCATGGATCTTCAGCACACGCCCAGTTTCTCCTGCAGTTCCACAGAATCCATTCAGCATGTGGAATCCTCATTAGCCGAGATCCTCCGGCCATTGTTTATTCCTGCTGCATCCGCAGCGACCTCTTGCCTTCTCGCACTGCAGACTCTGCTGTGATTCTCTTCTCTCCGTCCGTGTAGACCTATGCAGGCATTTCGGATTTTCACTAGGTCTTGTCCCTTCCAGCTTTAGTCTGAGGTTAGAGCGGATCCATTCACATTCCCTCCATCTCTGACCTCCTTGAAGTGATATCCTTTGGAGGCACCTTTGTAAGGGGCCGCTCGTGGGAAGCTCTTTTGGAAAATCTATTTCACTTTCTTTCTTAAATATCCCCAGATAAATAGTTATTTTTCCTAATCTTTTTGAAGATTTTGTTTGATTGTTTTCTGGGTCCCCCTGTGGTTGAAAATACTGCCGCAGTCAGCCTGATTCCTGCGGGCAGTCCGTCTTCCCCTGCAACCTTCCCTTTGGTGTCTGCAGGTCCTCCTTGATGTCTCCTTAAAGTATGGATTTTTTTCTGTCTGATATTTTGCTTGGGACGTTTTTCTTTATTAATCCAAGGATGCCTAGTTTTCATCAGTCAGGAGAATTCTCAACCATTATCTTTTTGAATATTATCTTTTTTCCTATCCCGTTTATTCCTTCTGGAACTCTGATGAGATATTTTTGAGCACTCGGTCATCCAGGCGCTCTGCTGCGTATCCTTTCATAGGTGTTTTGTGTCTTTTAGCTACATTTGCATCAGGGCACTTTCTTCCGTCTGATCTCTTTTGGAAAGGTTTTGTTTTCCCTTGAGTTTGCTCAGTCTTTTTTGATAACATTTGATAATTCCATTGCCTGATAATTCTGGCAAGTCTGATTATGCCAGTTGCTATTTTTCTTATTTCCTGTTTCTTTAGCATTTGAATCATAAGCTCAACTTTTACATACCCTTTGTCAGCCTGACTTGCATGTGAGAGCATTTGCCCTTGTTTGTGCTGAGTACCCAGGTGTCACATACATCAGGCCACTTTATGGTAATTTCTGGAACTGGGTTTCTAGGGTCTCGGGGCCTTGTCTGAGGCCCCGTGTGACAGTGGACCTATGGTTTTGGGTTTCTCAGAGGAGAGTTCCTCTCCCTGAACCCAGAGCCCAGAATGAGACCCAAGGTTTTCTTATGCTCTGTGTTATTGGCTAAGGTTCTTTGCTTCATCCAGGAGCCAGGAAATTACGGCTCCCTGACTACATGTGGTTTTGTAAATAGAGTTTTATTGGGATGTCTTAGTTTGCATATTGCCTGTGATAGCTGTCATGCCAGATAAAACTCAGTAGTCGTGACAGAAGCTTTATGGCTCTCAGAACCTATCTCATTTCTTCTCTGGTCCATTACAGAAAATGTTTGCAGTTCTTGCCCAAGCCCGCCTCCCCACTGAGAGTCCCAGCTTTCTGATGTGGCTCAGTTTAACTTCCCCCTTTGCAGTGGTCTGAGTCCTTGTTTCTGTCACCATGTGATGGTTAAGGACAATACTTTTTGATAATTTCAGCTCCTGGTTACCACTCTGGTTTTTAGCTTCCCTCTTTGTGTTTGTTTTTTTTTCCCCCCTGCCACTAGGAATGTTCTTTCCTGAAAATAGTAATCAGAATCTTTGTAGTTTTGTAGTTTTGCAGTTAAAGAAAGGCCCAGTTGGACACTGAACCACCTGTCAGGGCCTCCGCTTCCCGCCTGGAGGATGCCATGTAGTGGCTGTTAGAGTCCTCCACCAGGACAACAGTAGCAGAATGGTAATTAAAGTAGTGTTTTGAGAGAGAATAGCAGCTGTCAGCACTCCACCCTCACTGCTTCACCTGGCCTCTGATTCAGCACGGGACTGTGGCTCTAGGTGAGGTTGCCCCTCCTCACCTCAGTGACTGCACTCTGCCCAGGTCCTGTCTTGTATATGGGGACGGGAAGCTGGACTTTTCTTCTTGGGAGGCCCATCTGAGCTGGAAGCTCTCTGTCCGGTGCATAACCCCGCCTGGCCGGAGAGCATGGCCCAGTGTGTGTCCTGGACTCTGGACTTTCACAGTTCTGTGTGCTTTGTGTGGGAGGTGAGCAGAAAGGCAGCTGCAAGGGCAGCCTTCCCTCCACTTGTGGACATCCAGAAGTGGTTTTTGAATTGAAGCATTGTTGGTCTTGATTGACTGCAGCTTGGAATTTGTGGTCTCTTTGTCAGGGGCAACTAACTTAGACCACAGATAAATGTCTAAGTTATCTGCATATGTGTTATTTTCCCTTTCATATAAAAGACTTGTTTTCTTTATAAAAGGATTCACAAAGAAATTTTACAAAAAAAGGCTGTTCTTAGAGTTTGCATTTTTTTGGTAAAGAAAAAAAGGATTCGCCTAAACTGCTGGGAGGATTTAGGGGCTTCTCCTCTGTGCCCCTTAGTCATCCTGCCCAGCGCCCACCTCACCCTGGCTGTGAATGCCTGTTGCCTCTCCTTGCTCAGCCCGTCACCCCTTCAGGATAGAATCTGCATCTTCATGGCCTTCCTATGCCCAGTTCCTCGCTCAGTGCTTAAGACATATTAGACTCCCAGCATGTATTTGTTGAATTCAGCTGAATATGATGACATTTTAGATTTATGTACAGCTGCCTCAAGAATAGATATGCTGTTGGGTATTTCTGTGTTTCTGTCTCAGTTTCTTCACTAACATTTACTTCTTCAATAACTTAAACAAAGTCAAGATATGCCTGAGAGTTTCTCTCTTTCTAAAACACACACACAGGTATTTGTACGTGTGTGGGAAAAGTGGATGGATACCCTAAACTCAAGCCCTCAGCCTTGTGTGAGGAAAATCTGCAGGCCATTTTTTTTAAACTTTCAGGTTATAAGTTTTATTTTTCACAAAGTTTACATTTGTGTATTCATTAATATGTGTACGTACACTAGGTTATAATAAAACTGCATTTCTTACTATGAGTTGTAACGAGAAATATTTAAAAGCCAGTGATGCTGGCAAAGCCCTTATTTCATATACTTCTCTGAAGCCCAGAGAAGTGAAGCGTGAAGTTATATTTTTACCTTGGAGTCAGATGAGGTTGGTAGTTCATTTAATGCTGGATGTTTTGTTAATTTCTGTTTTATCAACACTGCAGCCTTTGGGGATGTCTTAAAGACAATCAGGTATACTTCTTGTGTTAGAGAGATAGTACCTCTTGGTATAGCAGATGGAAAAACGAACTGCAGGTTATTGGATGCATTTCCCATGGCTCAGCTGTTGCTGCCTCCGTGGGATCAGAGCGCTGTTCAGGGACGCCTGTCGGTGTAGCTCCCTGTGCTGAGGAAACAGCTGAGAAACACAAGGAACCTGCCCCTAGGGAGCTCCTGCTTGACTGTGTGTTGTTGAGGGTGGTTGATGCAGAAAATGAAACATGTTAGGTGTTGGTTGGTGCCAAGAAGCCATGCAGGACAGTGTGAGGAGACCAGAGTGGAGGAGTGTATGGGCCTCTGCTACGGGAACTTCAGGTGGTAGCTGAGCAGAGACCTGCGTGGCCAGAGAGGGCAGCCCTGCAGGTACCTGGAAAGAGCCAGCAAGTCAGGTGTGTGGGAGGAGCGAGGGGAGGCTGCAGGGAAGGCAGGAGCCATCAGTGCAGAGAGGGAGGGAGCTGAGGCCAGAGAGGCCATGGGGGAGCAGGGCATGGGCCCTTGTGGACGGGAGAGACATGGGTCCCATTCCAAGAGAGCCGGGACTTTCAGAGGCCCCTGCGTTCCTGGGTCCCGGAGCGATGGGTATCTCCTCACTTAGGCTTTAAATGCGTCTCCTGGCCACCATGTCAGGAATGTACGGTAGGGTATGGTGACAAGAGAGATTCACTGGGGGACCTCTCTGGTTTCATCTAGGGTGAGGTGAGGGTGGTCTCTGGATCTGCCACTAAGCAGTGATGGGATTCTGAAATTGTTTGGAATGAAGTAAGAGAAAAAGTCACCCTCAAGGAAAGCAGCACCATCACTCTGCTCATGCCTTGTTTCATGATTAACCGCCCCCCTCCACTTATTTATTTATTTGATTCTTTAACAGAACTCCGAGTAAGTGTAGCTCCTGAAGTGGATATCATGGACTACTGCAAAAAAGAGTGGAGGGGAAATACGCAGAAGGCAACATGTATGAAAAAGGTATGCCACGTTCAGGTCATGGGAATAGTCCCGCCTCAGTGATTATTATGGCCTCTTTTTTTAGATGTTAGTTAAGATAACTGCTATTAGACTATGTAAATATTGGTTTTCTAATTTTAGAGATGAAGAGACAGACTCCCAAGACAAGGGACTTGTTTTGAGTCACAGCATGAATATAGAATCAGGATCAGTTATCCAGTGATGTGATTGCTTGGAAAAACTTGTCAGTGCCTGTGCCTCTGTGTTGGGCCAGCCGTTGGTTCTCCTCTGGGGTCCTCTGGGAATTCCCTTCTGGTCTGGTGGTAAAATCCTCCGGGGTGGACTTACGGATGCCGTATCTGCTGTCCCCACTGCGTTGGTTTCACGCCCTCCGCTCCTTGTCACCTGGACCCTCCTGGACGCTGTGCACAGGGACCTGGATCTGCTTCCTTCACTTCTGCTCCCTTAGTCCCAGGAGCTGCCCCCTCCTCATCCATTGCTTAGGTTGGTGGCCCCAGCGTCATCTGCAAGGTGTGTCACACCGGAATTCCTGTGACACAGTCCCTCTGTGACTGGGCAGGGTCATTGCCCTGGTCAGGTCAGACCCCATGACCTCTTCTGTGGCCCAACAGTCAAGGTGCACAGTGCTGGCTCCCCTGCTGGCTCACCTGAACCCAGCAGTCCTTGGTAGTTTGAACCCTGGGCAGTCGCTGTTAGTTGATTGTTTCTGAGCTCCAGAAATGGCAGTTTCAGTCTAAAACTTCTAACTCTTGTAAAACCTCTGGGTTATATACTTTGCTCATTTTTCTCTTGGGATTATTTTCATTATGAATTTGAATGTACTTGTGTATTAGAGATACTCACATGTCATATTTGATAAAAAATCTTTCTAATTTTCATTTTGCTTAGAACTGTATTATTTAGGCTTTAAAATTTTTAAATATTTAAATACATTTACTTTTTTCTTCGGACCTTGTTTTTGAAGAAAATACCAGGCATCTTTCAGTAGGTCCCGCGGCTGCCCCCACCTGCCCTCTGCAGGGCAGACCTTCCTTGGTGTGCAGCTGCTGCTGTGGGCTCTGCTTTGTGCAGGTCCAGCCTGTAGTCTCTTTGTGTCAGGCACATGTCAGAGAACTCAGTCACAGAGTACCTGGGCCCTGCATCCTGCTGGAGATTAAAAACATTTAGATTCCTGATGTCATCTGCTGAGATGTGTGTCAGCCACTCAGATTTTCTAGCATTCTTCTGCTCAGTCTCAAGCTAGATAACCAGAAAGCCAGATACCTAAGCTTCGTTTTTCTTTTTCCTCGGAAATGCTTTCACTGATGTTTTACTCTGTGACCTTGCTGTCTCTGAAGGATGTATTCTAACAGTTGGCATCTTAAAGCCCAAAACTGTGAAGATGTATATTAAATTATCTAAATATTCTGTTACTTGGAAATCATTCTAAAGTCATTCCTCTGTGACTTTAGTTCAAGGGAAAGATTTGACTGTGTGGTTGGGCTCTTCCCGTGACCGAATAAATACTCAGAGGCACTTCGTGAAAGAGCATGGCATCAGCCCTAGGGCAGTGATCATATCTTTGGGCCCTGCAACAACACCAATCTCAATTCTTTTTTAATGCATTTTGTCTCATTGTCTATTTTTGTTTTGGATATTTTGAAGTGTATAAATCTAAATTTAATTGTAGAAGAAGTTTGATTCACTCCTCAAACAACATAACCTGTACATGCACCAGTTGCTGTGCAGTTAGCTGTGGTGCATATTCCTGGGGCTTTTGGGGCCTGCCCTGGGGAGGAGGTGCATATTAGGGGTTGTGAATCTACTTAATGGGCCTTTGGGTATTGTAGTGGTTTGGTCACTAAATAAAATTCAACTCAAAATTTCATTATTGGAGAGAAGTACATACATGTCCACTTAGAATGTCATCCTGTGATTGAATCTTGAAATGAGGGTCCAGGTCTTGGGCAGTGTCTGCATAGTACCCACCCCATCAGGAGGATGGCACACTTTTCTGTAGGTTCAGGGCTGAGTGACTCCATGGAAGAGCAGGCCCAGTGAGAGGACACACAGGGACAGGCCGTGGGTGGGAGAGACGGTGGATTCAGGGCCAGTGCTCCCAGGTAGCTGACCTGGGAAATCAGGTCCTGGGGCACGTGAAGCAGGTCACTAGATTCTGTGGTGACCTTTTTGGGTGTATGTATCGCAGTGATCCATTGGGTGGCTGGTTTTGAGTGACTGAACATGTCACTGAATATTTTCATTTCCTTGTTTCACTTCCAGCTTGCACAAGAATGGCACTTCTTGTCCACTTTTTATAAAAGTCTAGCAGAATTATCCAGGCATCTCCTAGCGTGGAGGCTTCTTCTTTTTTTATTTTAAAGATTTATTTTATGTATACAAGAGTTGGGGTGTAGCCCAGAAGTGTCGGGGTGGTGGGGTGAGAGTATTCACCAGAGAGTGGGGAGCAGAACAGACGGATCTGCCGAAATACATTGCTGAGGGGAGCAGCGGGGAGACAGGAGAGGTCTGCTGCGCCATGTGGGTAGCTCCCTGGCTGGGGCTCAAACTCATGCTGCAGTGGCTGCAGATTACTTCATAGTGCTGAGACTTAACCCCTTGTGCCACCAGGGAGGCCTCAATGGCGTTTTTGACATACCTTGGAAACTTGGGGTTTTGTAATTTTTTTTTTTTTTAATATAGACATAAACTTAGTACATCTCTCTCTTCCCTATCTCTTCATTAAGGAGTTTGGGGTCAACATAAACCATCCAGAATGTTGGTTGTCAGTAAGTGAGAGTTACAGCAGTTGCTTAGCTGGGAGATGCTCTCCTAAGCTTGGACAGCACGGGCTTGAGCCGCGCAGTCCACAGGCCCTGGAGTCTCCTCTCTGCAGCTCACCGTGTTGTGGGAAGACCATGTGATCATACAGCATGTGTGAGCTGGCTGATCGACTGCTCATGTGTCAGTGAGGCTTCTGGTCAGCGGCAGACTGTTAGTAGTTTAGTTCTGGGTGAATCAAAAGGTATAAGCAGATTTTTAACTTCTTTGTGGTGGTCGTGGGGGAGAGATCAGCACCCCTAAGTCCTGCAGCGTCCTACGATCAGCTTTGTTTTAAGTATTTAATAATACTTGATATATTATTTTGTATGTTCTGGTGTGCTGTATCTGTTACACATGTTGCTAGGCTGTGCAGTACTAACTTTTGTTACCCCTTTTGATTAATTAAAAAGGAATCAGTGCTTCCCGTGAAGAGCTCAGCTAGTCTTGTTGCCTGTCTCCCAACATCGAGGCACATTTTCCCCACAGGAATAAGACCCTCCCCACTGTCTGAAGTCACTGGTGACCCTTTTGAATCCTTGATGCTTTCACCCAGGGCTATGAGGAGGTGTCTCAGAAGTTCACCTCCATCAGGCGAGTCCGTGGAGACAATTACTGCGCACTGAGGGCCACGCTGTTCCAGGCCATGAGCCAGCCGACCGCGCCGCCCTCCTGGCTGCAGGACCCGGAGCTCACGCTGGTACGCTGCTGCTGCAGGTTTGAGTCTGCGTTGTTTCCACTAGCCTTGTGAGAAGGACTTCCTTTTCTGCCATGGTGCCTGCTGGTGCTGTCCGCAGTGTGACATCAGCATGTGGGTTTGTTCAGCTCTGTGCGTCTGGGGTAATTTCACCTAGTAATAAAGCAACACAAAACAGTGGTATTTTCCAGAAGAGAAAAATGTTGTAATTTATTTGAACAATTCAGCTGAATTATTTAGGGCTGTGAAATGCACTTAGGGGCAGTTTGCCCTCAGTGTTGATGTTTCTATTAAGGCCTGCCTGTCTGAGAACCTGCCAGGGGTTAAAATACACACTTTTGGGTTTTTTTTTTTTTTTTAAACTTTATTTATTTATTTATTCATTTGTTTGTTTTGTTTATACATGCACTGGGTACAGTCAGAAGCGCGGGAGGGTGAGAGAATTCACCAGAGCCAGAGCGGGGAGCAGAGCAGGCAGAAGGACCGAAGTACACTGCTGAGGGGAGCAGCGGGCGGCAGGAGAGGTCTGCGCGCCATGTGGGACCCTCCTGCGGTGGCCAGGGAGCAGCCGGGGATCGAACTGGTGCTGCAGAGGCTGCGGGCAGCTTCGCAACCCAGCGCTCAACCGCTGCGCCACAGGGGAGGCCCAAAATACACACTTTTGTAGCTCTTGTTCCAGTTCCCGAAATGAGCACCTTCTGCAAATTGCGGGGAGTCTTGACTTGTGAGGTGGCTGCTGCTACATTGGAGAGGTGGCCGCGGTCTCCTGGGCGGGCGAGGGTCAGGGCTGTGTCCCAGGCCTGTAGTGTTTTAAATCATCACCTGGTTCTGACATCCTATGTCACATCATATGTTGTGTGAACGAGACAGTCAGAAGAGGTCACCTTACACGTTGGATGATCGTGTCCTAAATGAGCTGGGGGGGCGGCAGCAATGATTGGGCAGGACTGACAGCATGATACTAACTAGAGGAAAATCACAATCAGGTCTTGTACTTAAAAAAAAAAAGCTCAAGTGCTGTCAGTAGTCATGGGCGCGCCGCCTCAACAGCAGCTGGCGGTCAGCCCCAGAAGAGCCCGCCCTGCCCGCAGTGGCCAACGGTGAGATGGAAGCCCTGTGAGAAGAGGAGCCTGCTGGACACAGGGGCTGTTGGGCAGGCTCGGGGCCGATCCTCAGGACAGAGGTAGCATGACCGAAATGACTCCTCTTTCGGGGACAGTTGGAGGCGCTGCGGTGTTGCCTGTAGTTAAGACTTTTAGAGGAAATTGGTTGTCGGCTCAGCTGCTCAGGCTTGTTAGGAGGGTGCAGGACCACATGATGAAGCCGGGACCAGGCTGTCAGTCTGTCCTGTGGTTATCCATGTAAACGCTGTGAAACACACCATGTAAGCTGTCTCAGCCATACTGGGAGAGATACTTTGTTCTAAGCAGAGACATCATCTTGAGCAGATTTCTCAGTATTCACTGAGAAACCCATAGAGGCTACAGAACTTGATACACTAGGCTGTTTATTTCCTTTGCAGATGGTGACATTTATTTATAGTGAGATAGAAATGACTGCTCTTTCTTTGCTCGCATCCAGCTGGAAGAGTTGCCTTCATGTTGACTCTTCAGCCCCCAACAGTTTTCCATTGATTCGACCTCTTTTTCTCCATGCCTTTTTATTGTGTCCCTTCTGAGACTTGAGCAGGCGGCAGAGTGACCCAGCGTGTCATGTCTGAGGCACCAGTGCCGTCAGGGTTCACGGCTTGATCGGTTGCACTTGCCCAAACTTGGTAAGCCTCCTAGCTGCGTGTGGACGCCATTCCGCGTCATTCTGGCGCCTCCACCTGGTTGGTCTTCCCTCTGAATTAACTGTGACTGGACCCCACCTCAGCCTGTTGCAGGCCCTGCTGAACAGCCCTTGATGTCAGGGTGCATTTCATCAAGAGCTCAGGTGAACCCAAGGAGCCATACTTTGTGCCCAAGGGATTCCTGCCCTTTAGCTGGCTCTTCCTGCCTCCACTTGAGGATGGCGAGAGGTTCTTTGTGGCGTTTCGCCATCTTCCCTCTCCTAAACATGTGTGGTATTAGGACATTAAGGGGGAATGGGGGAGCTAGACTGAGAGAATCTCCCCTTAATCTGAGCTCAGTCAAGAGCCCCCTGACTTTGCTTCTGCTCGCCTGGCCTTGCTTTGTTCCCAGCCTGGGAGGTTGACCTTTGCCCATACTGCCCCACACTGCCCCTCTGACCATTCAGCCACCTCCTCCCCACCTGTTGCCCTGCCTTGGCGTCCTGCGTGTTCTTCCTGCTTCCGTGCAGATCTCAGCCTCAGAGTTTGACTGAGTTGGATCATCTGACCCTGACCCTGACCCTGGAGATGTTTGGTCTGGCTGTTCTTGCACTTGGCATGATGCCTTGGTGCCTAGGAGGGCGAGTCCTCAGGCCAAGGGGCCCTTTGGTTTCCATGTTCACTAAGTCTTTGAATATCTCTGAGCAGGTTGGACTGTGGCCATGTGTGCTTAAGGTGGGACAGGCTGTAGGCCAGAGCCCTGGAGTTAGCTGCGGGGTGATGCATTGTTGTTCTTTGCCATCCCTTTACTGCAGTGGCTCTAATTGTAGACACTTGCTGGGGAGAGCAGACTGCTGCAGACTTTGTGTCCAGGTGGAATTACACCTCGGCTAGTTACCTGCTCTCTTCCTCAGTATTTCTAGCCATTGTTACCTTGTTCAAGTTTTGCTTCAATTGAATCTCCTTTATTCTAGAAGTCTGGTCTCTGCTTAGTAGAAAAAAATGACTCTTCCATGTGTTATCCCTTCAATGCATTTAAAATTATATTCACCTTTTTCCTTTTGAATAAATCCAAAGTTGTCATTGTTTCTTTTCCACACGTCATTTTGTGGACTTTCTCGGGTCTGCACATTTCCCAGAAATCCGCACTCCTCCACTGGGCATGGCTCTGACAGCGCTGCTCACTGTGTGCAGGCAGTGAGGACCGGGCCTACGGCCTTGGTTTCCCTCAGTGGGGTTAGCACTTTTGGGGTCCGGGTGACAACGCTGAGTACTGTGCCTGCCGCTTGGCTTCCTGCAGTGTCATGTGACGCTCAGATGGGCTTCTGGCCTTCCCTTCCTGGCTCACGTCTGTGTAGCCAGTATTTTCTGCTCAGCTGTAACCCCCCCCCCTTTATTTCATTTGTAAAATTAATACATTTTTTAACAGAAGGAACACCACATTGTTGTGCTGTATGTGTTTCCGCGCAGCTGCACTGCTCCCACTTGTGATTTCAGCTTCTTGCCACTTGAGGGCATTTTAGCTTCTGGTGATAAACCTGAAAGGCTAATGAAGGTTTTCAGCCCAGCTGCCCACTTCTTGCCAAAGTGCAGGACAGTGGGTGTGGAGCTGGGCTGCTCTTGGGGCGCTGGAGGTAGTCATTTGTCATAAGATGAGGGGACGCAGCCCTACTGTCCACTGAGTGAGAAACTCTGCTTTTACATCCCTGTTAGACTTTTGTTTTTCCGGAGCAGAACGCACCCTAATTTCACATGCGCACTGTAGATTGAGAAGGTGAAACTGGAATTGCTGTTCCTGAAGGCGGCTTAGAGGCCCCGATTCCATAGGCCTGCACACGTGGCCTCCTTGGGACTCTGTCACTCTGTCACCCCTCGGCTGCTGCGGTGGCCGGTGTTGAAATGACTAGCTCTTGAGGGGTCTTTTGACTTGGAGGTGCACTTTGGTTTTCCTTTCTGAATCTTGGAGCAGTGAAGTGACATGCCCGTGCCCAGCCTAATGACGTGGGTGTTCTCCTGCCACACCCAGGCTGTGGGGCGCACCTGAGTTCCCATGCTGTCATCGGTGGAGTGGGAACAGTGTTCCAGCTTGCCTCCCAGAGCCCGTCGGTGATTAGGGGCACCAGGACAGCAAGCGCCAGGGCAGCAGGAAACGGGCAAAGTGGCCGCTCAGCTGTCCCCGGCCTCAGCATGCAGGGCCGCCGCGGGCCCTGCGCTCCACCCTCCTTCTGGGTGTATTTTTCCTTAAGACTGTTGCTGAGGTTAAAGCAGATGGTGGTGTTCCCTGCAATACTGAAACTTTGAATCTGTGTTAATATTAGAAAGTCGGTTTTACTTTGGTCATCAGGAAAGGAGCAGGTTTCACTGTGTTCTGGGCCATCTCACATACCCTGGGGTGGCTTCTGAGTGACACACAAGGGGGAGGTGGGGACGAGCCAGCGCCCAGCAGCAAGCTGGGCAGCTTTGGGTGGAGGGTCCGGCCGGGGTCACTGCCCACAGGTAGACCGTGCCTTCGTTTCTTAGACCAAATCGCATTCCGCTCAGGCAGGCGGTTTCTGAGTGTCTTCCGCATTTAGGGCCTCCGCCCTTTACCCGTGTGACAGATTTACAGGAATTGGTTCTAGAAACAAAGGTAGGTTGCGTCGGCTTTGTGACTTGCATCGTGCAATGGACGTTTGGGAACCTTAACACGCTTTCTCTTTCTCTGTTTCTTGATATTCTAGTTACCAGAGAAACTCATAAGCAAATACAGCTGGATCAAGCAGTGGAAACTTGGACTGAAGTTGGAGGGGAAGAGCGATGACCTGGTTGATAAAATTAAGGAATCCCTCACTCTGCTAAGGAAGAAGGTTTGGAACATGGGGTTTCCTTTCTCTGATAAGTTCAGCGCTCTTGCTCCTCGTGGCCCAGCAGACCACTCTGACCCTCACTCAGTGGATTGCCAAGCGCTTGTGGCTGGCTTTTAAGCAAAGTAATTGTAAATGAACACACACTGAGGTATTTGGTGAAATGGAGAGCTAGCAACACCCTATCTTCTTGGAGGAGATGAGTTTAGTGAAATGTTTACCTTTTGTCTTGTCAGTTGTAGTGTTTGTTCTCAGTCATGACAAGTTTGGGGATATCATTTAGTCCATATTTCTTTTTTTTTAAAGATTTATTTATTTATGCATACAAGAACTGGGGTACAGGCCAGAAGTGTGGGGGGTGAGAGGATTCACCAGACAGCGGGGAGCAGAACAGGCAGAGTGCCTGAAATACACTGCTGAGGGGAGCAGCGGGCTAGTCAGGAGAGGTCTGCTGCACCATGTGGGTCTCCTCCCTGACCGGGGATCACATTGGTGCTGCAGAGGCTGTGGACAGCTTCATAGGCTGCGTCTTAACCCCTTGCGCCACCGGGGAGCCCCCTAGTCCATATTTCGTATAGTACTATTAATGATAGAAACTCAAATTGATCAAATTCTTCCCAGTTATGTTCACGTTTTAAGATTCTGACAGTGTTTATTAAACTAATTTTCTTTCCTGATGATTGTCCAGTGAGTAGACTTTGTCGTATTTTTTGAAAACCGTTCTGAGGTTTCCCTGACGTGGAATCCCAGTGGGTCTGATGATTCCCACTGATTTGGTGATAAAAATGCTCCCTTTTTGTGGCTTTCTGCACTCACGTAGCTCGTGTCCTGAGTTGCTGGCCTATTGGCTACTCCAGGCTGTGTCAAGGGAGGGGGCTGGAGGAGGCTCAGCGACTCGTGGCACCTCCCAGGTTCTTGGTCTGATTACTTGAACCCGGCTTGCCGCCCGTACTGGACTTCCAGCTCCACGAGAGATGGCTCCACTCCTCAGAGCCTCACGTAGTGGACATTGGGTGATCATCATGTTGAATAAATGAACCAAAGGCCCTGACTTCCGGAGGAAGACTAGTGACAAAGAAATGGCAGTATCAAAAGAAGGGAAGAGGGATTCTGTTCTCGTCTGAGTGTGGAGGTTGGGCCTGGACGCCATGCGCCTACCCCATCCTGGCTCGCAGAGGGGTGAGGGCGATGCTCTAGCCTGTGGGAGTGGGCAGGAAGGCTCTTCAGCTCAGCCACTGGTGACAGTTTACTCTTCATCTATCCTTTAAGATCTTGTGAAAATGACTTTGTTTCATGGGGCATGTTTGCTATCACATAGAGTCTTGCTTTTGGGAATGTGTGACTCCAATTTAACATTAAAGTTCCATCATAACATTAAAGTTCATTAACCATCTGTCAGCATCCCCAGCACCTAGGTACCAGGTTGTACACTAAAAGTTGTATATGTGGTTTAATTCTCACAGTTACCAAGGTGTTATTGCTGGGGTTATATCTTTATTTTACAAATGAGGAAACTAAGGCCCAAGGGTCAGTTAATGCCCTGCGAAAGCCACCAGCTGCTTGGTGGTGAGGCCTTCATTTCATCTTGACTGTGACTAGAGTCAGGCTCTTGACTGCCAACTTGGCCTACTTCTAGAAAATAGGAGGAGCAGCTTACATCTGGAAAATAGGAGCAGTTTACTTCTGGAAGACAGGAGAAGCACTCCTACTTTACTTTCGGAAAGTTAGGAGAATTAGGTCACTTCTGGAAAATAGCAGAAGTCGCTGACTTTTGGAAAACAGGAGATTTTCTAGCTTTCAACTCAGATATTGGAGAGAGTCTTGTGGCACAGCCGTTGCCATTAAAGCTTACCTTTGAATTTGAAATTTTAGTGGTTTTCAAGAGGAGAGGTTTTTGCTGGTTATTTGTAAGAACTGTTTTTGCGTTGGCATCTCTTATTCTCATTCACTTGATAGCACATTTGTTTGTAGGATTTTCCTGTTCTCTTAAAGAGTTTGCCTTGTCTTAGCTGAATGCCTAGCGCACTGCTTTCTCCTTAACTAGGAGTCAGTAAGAATTTCCTGAGGGGATTTAGTCATTTGACACTCATGTGTACCTGGGTTTTTAAGATATTACGGGGATAATTTACCCAACTAACAGTCTGGAAATCACGCGCCTCCCTTACCCATCTTCAGGTGTGAAGTTGGCTTGGTGTTTTCTGGGTGGTCACTGCCCTGGTCAGCTCCTTCTTTCAGAGCAAAAGGGGCACTTACTGCTGCCCTCCTACACAGGCCACCCCCCACACAGGCCACCCCCCACACTGCCTCTCCTGGAAGTATTTCTGACCCCACTGTTTTGCTCTCATTGCCTGGGAAGTTAGGGGAGTCGAAGTTTCCATTCCACAACCCCGAATCTCTCCTTAGTGCCTTGTACTTTTGTTTCAAATTAATGGGGGGAAGCTGAATGAGGACTTTGTGCGGTCTGAAGAGCATCATTGTAGGCTGGGAACTTGGGCCCTATGAGCGAGCATGGGTACAAACTGTGGTTGCCGACTTATGAAAATTATTTTGTTCTCATAGTATGGAAGTGCACCAGGGATGCTGAGAACAAAAATTAATGATTATGTACCTTTCTTCCTGCAGTGGGCAGGCTTGGCGGAAATGAGAACTGCCGAAGCGAGGCAGACAGCTTGCGATGAACTGTTCACAAATGAAGAAGAGGAATACAGCCTCTATGAAGCTGTAAAGTTTCTCATGCTAAACAGAGCCATTGAACTATATGATGATAAAGAGAAGGGGAAGGAAGTGCCCTTTTTCTCTGTGCTTCTGTTTGCTCGGGACACATCAAACGACCCTGGCCAGCTGCTGAGGAACCACCTAAACCAGGTGGGACACACTGGTGGCCTTGAACAGGTGAGTTGTGTTTTTGGGAACATATTGGCCTCAAACAGCAACTTTAACCTGCACATGTTATTTCACAGGCTTTGTGCGTCAGGAATTCAGCAGCAGCTTAGTGGGGTGGTTCTGGCTCAGGTCTTGGGGCACATTATTCGAGTTAAGTCACCTGAGGGCTCAGCTGGCTCACTCACCTGGCTGTTGGCACGAGGTTTCAGTTCCTTATCAGTAGTAACAGGAAGGGCTCAGTTCCTCACCACGTTGGCCTTTCCGTGGAGCTGCTTGCGTGTCCCCGCGACGTGGTGGCGGGCTTCTCTGCCCAAGAGGAGGAGCGCAGGGGGCGCCACACTGCCTTTTACACTGTAGCCTTGGAGGGCATGTGCTGCTGCTTGACGCCACATCACCCAAGCTGTCCCACACTCCTGGGGAGAGATTAGGCTCTGCCTTTTTTTAAGTGAAACGTGCCAAAGAATCCTGGGCCCACCTCATAGGCCCTTGCGGATCTCACCGCTCCTGCAGCGGGGTGGGGGGGGGGGTCAGGAGAGCACTGGGAGAGTCGTCTGCCGGGTCTTGTTTAATCCTGGTGGCTGTGGTTGTACGGGCGCATCCTTAAAAATAGAAAATTTGTTGCAGAAGCCAGTCGAGCCCGCCTGCTCTTGGATCTCTTACAGATGTGCTAAGTTTGGAGCTTTACGCAGAAGCCCAGTGCTGGGCTGTCTCCGAGCCCGCCCGTGACTCACCACGCCTCACGCTATCTTTGGTGTGCTCGTTAAGTTGCCCCAACACGTCCTAAGTCTTTTTTTAGTGGAATCGCCAACCGCCAAAGTAGCATTAAGGCTGTCCAGGGTGCTTACTTCCTCCCGCCACACCCGACTGTTTGCCGTGACCTGGTGTGGAGGACAAAGCAAGGGGCTGCCGCAGCGAGCCAGGCAGGCTTGAGAGCGTGCTTTTAAAACGTTATCATATTGGAGGTAATTTCTGCTTTGTTGGCCATAGTAAATACTGTGCCATAAAAAACCTGGTATTCTGTGTCTGGTTTGCATATTAAACTAAAATTCCTTTCTGAATCCCCACCAGGTCTGTTGTGATGGAAAGTCCACTTTATAAAAATAATAGCTTTATTGAAGTATAATTTATATATCATAAAGTTTACCCTTTTAAAGTATGCAACACAGTGGTTCTTAGTTTGTGTACTACTGAGTTTTGCAGCCATCACTGCTGTCTGGCTTTAGATTGTTTTCTCGCCTCTAAGAGAAAGCTCGTGACTGTTAGCACACGCGCGGCCCTTCTCCCCTGGCCCCAGACAGCCTCTGAGCTGCACAGTCGCCACAGATTTCCCAGTTCTGGACATTCCACCTGCATGGAGGCCTAGCAGGCATGGCCCTCTGTGACTGGCTTCTCACTCAGGCATAGCATTTTCGGGGTTCACCACGGAGCAGCATGCAGCACGTCGCCCTTCCTTATTGACGAATAGCATTCCAGAGTGTGGACATTCACGTTCCACTCATCTGTTCATCAGTTGTTGGCTTGTTTGGATTGTTTACACTTTTTAGCTATGGTGAAGAATTCTGGTCATGAACAAGTTTTGTGCACATTTTGTGGACATGATGTTTCAGTTCTCTTGGGTGTAGCCTGAGAGTGGAATTGCTGGGCCAGAGTAACTGATTCAACTTTTGAGGGACTGTTTTTTAAAGCAGCTGCACTGCTTTGCCTTCCTACGAGCAGTGTTTCAGCGTCCCAGCTCTACATCCTCACCATGCTGCTTTTTGCTTTTATTAAGGTGAAGTTCATATCCCATAAAGTTAACCGCTTTGAAGTGCGCCCCTCAGTGACTTTCCATACGTGTACAGTGTGGTGTGTGAGCCGGCTGTGTCAGCCTCCAAACATTTTCATCACGTTCCCACCCACCCGCCCACCCGTGTCCTTTAGGTTGCAGCCGGCATGGTGGGAGCGAGGCGCCCTCACTGGGTGGGCTTGCGGCCCCCGACCACACTACATGTGCTCGTTGGCCTTGCGTCTACTCTTTGCTCAGTTGGTAAGCTGGTTGCTTACTTTTTTATTGAGTTGTGAGAGCTCTTTATATAGTCTGGAGACAAGCCCTTTACACACCTGTGATCTGTTTCAGATGATCTGCTTCTTCATGATGGAAGGGACTTAGGAAGGGGCAAAGCCGGGGTTGGGGGTGGGAGGAGGGTTTTGGCCCAGTGGTGCCCCGCACGCTGTGGCACACCTGGGGTGGAGCCGGCGGTCACTGCAGCTGGCCGTGTGTCCCCTCAGCAGGCCTGTGTGCTCTCTCTCCAGGTCGAGATGTTCCTTCTTGCCTATGCGGTGCGCCACACCATCCAGGTGTACCGGCTCTCCAAGTACAGCACTGAAGAGTTCGTCACCGTCTACCCCACCGAGCCCCCGCCAGACTGGCCCGTGGTGACCCTGATCGCCGAGGACGATCGGCACTACAACATCCCCGTCAGGGTGTGTGAGGAGACGAGCCTGTGACAGCCGCCGGGGAGGCCGCCACGCGCCGGGGCTGCTCCTGGGCTCAGGCCCTCGCATCTCCTCGCATGACCTACGAGAACCCTCGGGCCCTGCGTGCTCAGCTGGATGGGAATGTTCTGAAGACTTGCCTTGGACAATAAGAAGGAACCAAGTTTTCCCCTCATCTGTGATGCAGTGTGTCCTGGGGGCTTCCGCGCACACCTGCCGGCATTTGCAGACTACATCTTTTTCCTAAACGGGTACTGTTATGTCGGAGGACACTCGTGGCGAGCGGTGTGCCTCTGTGTCTCAGATCACGCTCTGATAGTAAACTGGCTTTCAGTTTTGTTTTTATTTGTAAGACAGTAGTTTCTTTTGTTTTCGCAGCAGTGGGTCTCTGGTGCCCTCCCGTGCCTTGGGCTTCCTGGCATGATTCCTGGCATGGAGGCTATTGGCGGCACAGTCCTAGCTACCTACCCCTCATAGTCTGCCCGACAGTGGTTTGGGTTTGCATCTAAGTACAGCTGTTATGAGCAGATTGTCTAATTAAGAATTGGGCCCCAAGGTGAAAGGCTGGAGAAGGAGCTGCAGGAAGGGGCGGTGGCTCCCGGTAACCCTTGCTCTTCCAGAATGCGGTGGCGCCCCGGGTCACGGACACCCCGCCTCTGGAGCTGAGTGCGGGGATTCGCTGTCTGCCGGTGAGTGCTCCAGCAGCTGCGCTCTGGTGTCAGGAACTAACCGTCATTCTCCGGTCCATGGACCCACCGTTTTAGAGTCACAACAGAATGTAGGAGCTGCCCGTGTTTAGAGGAGGAAGTTAAAGGCAGATTGCCTTTCCCACTGAGAGAGGATGAACCGAATCCAGCCTTCCTGTGACTGCTTTTGAGGGCACGTCTATGGCTAAATTCACGCAACTTACCTGCCGCCAGGACACGGGTGACAGCAGGGTGTGTCAGGCGTTCCCTAAGCCAGCGGCAGCAGGAGCACGCGCGGAAACTAGTGCAGGGGTACGACTGGGCCTGGACCTTCGTGGAGGCCTGGGCTGCGGACGCTGGTGGTAGCGATCAGCCAGCGACACCTGACTTGGCTCCATTTGTGGAGCTGGTGCTGCCCTCAAGTGCTGAGCTTTATTTCCTAGTAATTAGCATCTTTATTCAGGCCACTTTAATATAGTTTATAAGCTACCTAATCTGTATTAGGGGGTGGGGGAAACCTTTTTTATTAAAATGTAAGTTTTACTTTCACCTAAAAATTAAAAATTCTTACTTGCGACAACTCAGAAGACACAAACAACTATGCAGACTGTTAAACGCCAGTGTTTCCCCACACCCGGACAGCGACAGTCCCCACATGTGGTAGATGTTATTCATTTGAGTGTTTGATCAAAATTTATGCTCTGAATGTGTGATTCGTTGAAGAGGCTTTGTGTTTTTCACCGTGACGTGCAAGGGTGCCTGGAGTAAGATGGTTCCTGGGAGCCGAGTAAAGTTATAAGAATGATTTCTTATAACTTTGGCTTTGATGCTTCGATGCAGTATTTTTTTGCTGTGATGGGAGATGCTTACCATTCTTGAATATTTTTTAAAACGCAACTTCAAACATTTGGATTGTAGTCGGGATCCGTGTCCCCGGGGGTGCGTGGGCTGACCGCTGGCCCTGTCCATTGTTGAATTTAATAACTCAAGACTCACGGTCAGCTGTCTCTGCACTTGGACATTGATCTAGACTCCTGGGCAACTTGACTGTTTACATTTCATACTTTTTAAATTGTTCTATGTATGGTATTGTGAGAATGTGAGCAGAAATCGTCTTAACCATCATACTGATAAAAATGCAAAAAGGATGTGTTTATTTGAAGTTGCTTTCTTAGACCTTATTAGATTCCGCTCTCAGACTGTTTTCCAGGCTTAGCAGGATCACAGCGTCAGAGAGGCCAAGCTGTCAAACAGCGCTTCTGAAGGTCAGAATGATTCACCACCTTTAGAAATAACATTCCCTGTTTCAACATGCACTTGCGGTTGCTCAGAGTCTTCATTCCATTTCTCATTCTGGTCTTGGGCTGGGCAGTGACATCAACCCGATAAAGCTGAATGGAGACCAGAGGGACTCAGGGGATCGCCTACTTAGAGGAAGCGCTAAGATGAGAACGTGCTGGAGGAGAGAGAAGGTGGGAACTGCATTGAGCTTACCCTCCAGCCCAGAGCCAACTGCAAGAGTTCAGAGCTTTCGGACTCTGTGGTCTTGGCAGGAAGATAGTCTCACTCTGAGCACACGGGAGCTATTTAAGGTACAGTGGAACCTAAAAAAAACATTAATGTTAAGTGCCCAAAACCCCCAACAAAACCTACGAGAATTCCCCTGTCACCAGTTCCAGGGAATTAACACTTCCATCAAAACTCATTTTTCTGGTTCCCCTCTTTAGCAGCCAAGCCACGTCTGCCCAAGCAGCCTGCGGGAGTGGCACTCAGACTCAGGACAGCGAGGGGTCAGCCGGGGACAGAGGCCCAGCGTGTGCCCTTGAACTTGGGATCCAGGCGACGAGTGATTTGCTTGGAAATGTCGCAGCTCTCATGCTTGGAATTTGCCTCGCTACAAACGGCTTAAAAAGCCAGCAACAGGCCTCACCCCTTTCTTTATCAAGCCTTTCACGCTTGTGTTCAGTTATATATTCACATGCTGTCTGTGAAGTTGTCCTTGGGTTAAGGAAAATAGATGTTGCTTTTGCATCCAGTCATTCTTTTTCTTTCCAATTAGAAGATTCAGGTAGAAGATTCTCAGGCCACAGGACTTTTAACACCTCTATTGGATGTAACAACAGTTGTGAGTTTTTATTGATACCTGCTTTTTTTTTAAAGAAGCTGTTATTCCTCTTACCCATGGTGCTATTTTACCCCCAAATTTGTTGACTTCTCAGAGCTCCTCCCAGATAATGACTGAATTGCTGTGTCACTGTTAATGCCCGCACACACGTCTGCCATCATGACCGCGCGGGGACTGACTTCCTGGTTGTGTCTCCTTCTGAAGTTAAAATACAGTTTGATCATTTTCCTCTCTTTTTCTTAAGCAATACTTGGCAGGTTATTCCCCTTTGAAAGCCAGAAAGTAATTTCAAAAGTGTAAACCTTTGGGGGGATCTCACTTATAGGCCTGCATAAAAATAAATGCCTTAAAAAAAGATCTGTGACTTTAGAAAGCAATAAAAAGGAGGACTCACTTTACTGTCTGAAGTGAATCTGGAACGTGTGTGAAAGGCATAGCATCCCCAGTGGCTTAGCCGAGCCGAGCACAATGTCAAGTCATTTGAAAACAGCCCAGGGAGCTCGAAGACATGAACCAAAGAAGGAACTGACTGTAGATGAAAAATGGCACTTAAAAGCCCAACACCCAGTGCCTGGCAGGTGTCCCGGGCTTCAGTTATGAAAGGATAAAAATGTGAATGAGCGCAAGGACTTGTGTCAATGCGTCTGCGAATTCCTTTTTCTTACGACTTACTCTGTGTAAGAGAAGTCCACTGTTCTGCGCTTCACTCTTGGAGAGCTTCTCTTCTCTCCTGAGAGGGAGGCCAGGGAGCCAGTGCTGGGTTGGGTGGTGAATGAAGACACTGTCCATGCTTGTGACATCCTGGTGATGACTTGGAGCCACCAAAAGCACAAAACTAAGCTGATTTGACTGCCCACCGGCCCTGGTGGCAGCAGCCTCGGGTGAGGTGGGCTCGGCCCTGAGGGGGGTGTGCGCTGGTCTGCAGTCACACCGTGGCTTCCTATGCCCGGGGCCCTCAGTGTGGAGGGCCCTGCAGCATTTGGGAGGATGGCGGAGTGCTGTCCTCATTTCCACGGTGAATTAAAATGTACTGGGAATGGTGGAAAGGATCAGTAGGTGTAATTAAACTACACGGTGGCCGCGGAGTCTGGATAGAACGGCTGCGTCGTCAATACGGAACGGCATGTCCATAAACCGCTCTGACTGTTCGAGGCCTTTGCCCACCGGATGTTGAAATATTTTGAGTGCTCGTTAATGCCGGGACTGTTCACAGGGGAGAACCCCGAGGGAGTTTGGTCTTAGTTTTGGTTTCTCGGATGCAAGTCTGGGTTAGGAACAGAATTGCCTAAACCTGGGAACACAAGGCAAGCACGTGGGCTCGCAGTAACCAGTCACAGCGGCCATGTGCCTTGTCCCCCGGGGGGTCCAGCTTAATTAGGAACTTCACAACAGCTTTTTGTATTCGTTGAGAAGGGCCTCGCTCTGCATCCACACAAACAGCACTGCGGTTGGGCACTCCTTCCGGGAGCGGCGCGGCCCACGGGAACCTGGGTGGTTTCCGAGTGTTCTGTGCGGCAACAGCCAAGTGAGTGCGTTGAATGAACTGTGCTCTCGTTGCCTGGATTTCATAAAAGCGCTTGGGGTTACCTGCGTCGCGGCAGCTCCTGACTTCTGGATTATGGGTTTGGAGAGAATCCCAACCGCCCCTCTGCCGAGGACGGCCATGTGTCCGTCCCCAGGCTCTGATGGGAAGGCCAGGCCTGCTCGCCACAGTCTCCTCTGTTTACTCGGTCAAGTGTTGGCATCTGTCAACTACCACCTGTTCCAAACAGCGCCCCAGAGGCCTGGCTGCTTGGCGGCCTGCTTCCCACCTGCAGCCGTGGCTGAACGCCTGGCTCGTGGGGTGAGACTCCTCCCCCGTGACCTGTTGGGTCTTGTTTTTAGTGTCGGAGGCCAAACTGACTTGGGGCTTTGCTGTTGATCCTCTTGAGCAAACCAGGGTGCTAAGGATTGTAACAATGAACTAAAAATAAACGTAGAAAATGAAAACTCGAAGCCTGCCGTGTCGCCATGGTTGAATGCCTCCCTCGGAGGACTTTGGTAGAGTGGGGTCCAGTGCCTTCTCTCCCCAGCATCCCCCGACACACCTGCGGGGCACAACGCCTGGGAGTCAGACGGCCATCGTGGGAAGCTCATCACGGGGGAAGACTGTGCTTTGCAAGGTGTTCTTGGAGGTGGAGAATGAAGTCTGACTTCCTGCCAGCCGAGGCAGTGAGTCGGGAGTCTGCGGGAACCCCGGGCTCGGGGGCTGGGCAGCCAAACGGCCTTTTCTCTAATGAACAGCCACAAATGTCAGGTGTAAACACACTTTCTCCCTCCACTTGAGGTTTGGTGCTCAGTTCCATAGGCACGACTCTGTACCTCCCCTACTCCGAGACGTGTCAGAAAAATGGATCCAGGCTGAGGGCCCCTCTGGAAGTTCTTAGGATTATTTTTACAACCATCAAATGATCAAAAAGCCACTGGCCGCGTTAGGCGTGAGCAGACTTGCACATAGGACGTTTCCACCTTCCACCTCGGCCTCCACGCTCACGGGCGCTTACCCCGGGTTCTCTCTCCATTTCTCCCTTCCGTACGCGAACCGGGAACGGCCTGGTAATAACCTGACTCTCTGGGTCTAGAGGGTTGATTTCAGATACCCCACTCCTGGTGCAGCCCTAGAGGGCAGAGCAGACATGACTCGAGTAGGAAAGCCCCAGGGGATGCTGGCCCTAAGCTCTCTGGGACCCCTGTAGAATTTCTGCCCCTCCAGGTCCTGCCCCAACAGCCTGAGATGGTGGCGTGTTCCTTTCCACTCACGGTACCACGGGAGGTGACCACAGCAGCTTCCTCAGCCACTGGCCTTTAGAGCCAGAGCGCCTGTCACGTGACTCAGATGTGAGCGTTTCAGTCGCTCAGGAGAATGTCAGGGTTGCTATTTATTGTCTTCATGGTGTTTCGGTCTTTGGATTCAAGGGTTGTGAGCTAAGTGGGGATTGTGCTTGGCTTTGATTCCTAAGAGCTCTCCCTATTTGTCTTTGCTGGAAGAAGCCGGCTGCGATGTTCCTGGATTCTCCGTTGAGGTACTTCATGGCGCTAGGCCCCGAGTTCATGTGCGTCTCTGTCCTCCTGCCCTCAATCACTCTGCAAACCCCCATGTCGCCATAGATCAGCACTAGAAAAGACCTTGTTTTGCAACAGAGGAGGCTGATCCAGAAGCTGCCTGTAACTCAGAGCTAATAAGCAGCAGAAAGAGAATGAGGACTCACAGCTGCTTTTGGGCACAGGCCAGCGTGCTGAGCTGTGAAATTAGCATGGTATTTACTGCCCTGCCTTGTCCAGATAAGACACCTGGAGCCTGTTGTCTGCAGAATTACCAACAGCAGCCACGCCGTCCTTGCCTCCACCCCAGTTACCTTCCACGGTGCCGGGAAAGACTCAGGAGAGGCAAAATTCCTGCCATTGCTATTAACCTAAAAACCCATTCGATCGTATCTATGAATGTATCCAAACTATCACCTGGGTAAACCTTCTGGAAGTTTACCACCATTGTATAGGGCGAGGGTGGGGTGGTTTAGGGTAATTTATAGATCGGCAGCGAGATTAGAGTCAGGTGTTTCAAAACCTTGATCCAACTCGTGGTTAATTTAACTACCTCTTGATTGAAAGCCCTGAGTCCTCATAATGAATTCAAGCACGAGCTTAGAAGTCCTCTGCAGCCTGCCAGGCGTTGGGCAGGGGAGGCCGTCCGGTTACGGGTAATGGCTGTACAGCAGATTATCATTTATAGCATAATCTCTAGCCAAGCTCTAGCAGATCATCATTTCATCATTTATAGCATAATCTGGGGGGCACACCAGAAGCAAGTCATTTGGAGGGCCTTGGTGTCCTCCAGGGTCTAGGGGACCAGGATCACCTGAGCTAAGCCAGGCTGACTAACCAGGATGCAGAGGAAAGGATGGAAGTGAGAGATACCGGGGGGTGGGGGGTGTTTAGAGACACCCCTTGCACCTGGCAGGTGGAGTAGGCGTCTAGGGAGTGATGCGATTCATGCGAGGTGTCAGGAGAAAGTGTAGGAGTGCAGCTTTGCCCCCGGGGTAGGACTGCTCCTCATGGGGGGATTCGCTATGCCCAGGCCACGCAGGAAGCGGGGCGTGGAGCAGGACGAGGCGCCATGCCTGGAACGTGAGCTCTGAGACGTCAAGGGCGCGGTGGCGTCAGAGGCACGAGGAGGTTGCCCCGCGAGCTGGGATTTGACCCCTGAGAGGCGGGAAGTGGAGTCTCAAGCAGGTCAGGACATTGTTCTGTCCTCACCGGACACAGGTATGTAGCTAGACGCTTCGGCCTCCCTTCCAGAGACGAGGCGCGGGAGCCCTCGTGTCCTCCTTGCGTTTCAGACGCCGCGTTTCAAGGCGAGCGGCGGTTCCCGCGTCCAGCTTGAGAGCAGGCGTCTCTGAGATGGGCACGGGCAGCGGGCAGCTTCGGTTCCTCTCTCTTTGGCTTTTCGGGGCTTCCTGAAGTTCAGAGTCCCCATTTGACAGGCGCGTGGAGAAGCGGGGCTCCGGGAAGCGCCGTCAACGTGACTGGTCCCGGGAAGGAGACCTCATGCGGGACGCGAGCAGCGGGAACATCATGAGACAGGCAGCCCGGAGGGTGACTCCGGTGGCCCGAGGTTTGCTACCACAGCAAAAGACGCAATTTTAATGTCTATTGTAAGGAATGTGGGGTTCTCAGGTGCTTTTCCGCCTTGACGGCTCCCTGCGGCCCTGCTTGCCTCCAGGCTGTTACCTGCAGAGCGGCGATGGCTAAAGGTACCTGCCAGCCTGCGCGCAGGGCACGGGCACCCAGGGCTCCGGACTGGGCCCGGGAGCCACCCGCGAGGGGCGTGTGCAAACGTAAACACAGGCACCTGGGCTGAGAAACCAGGACGAAAAGGGGAGATTCAGGGGAGCAGCAGTGGGGGGCGGGGGGCTCAGTTGCTGCCTCCGGGCCTGCTGGTCTGCTTGGAGTCCAGTCTCGCGAGCTGGCGCTCTCCAGCAGAGACGGCCACAGCGACTGCATCGAACTTCCCCTCGAATGCACAATCTCACGTCACTTCATCTTTCCTCTTTGAGAACAAACCGGAAGCCGTAATTGCTTACGCCCTGTCTGCTTCCAAGTGGGGTTTGGGTTATTTTGATCCCGCCGTTCTGTCCCTTGTTTGCGTGGTTCATTTTAGACACTGGGCCTTGCAAAGGGCAGCGACAGGCACCTTCGCGTACCTTTGCCTTCAGAGTTTCGCTACATCCTGTTCGAGGTGTGGCTGGATCAGCTGCTGGGTCACGTGATGTTTTGCCGGCGTCAGTGACAGAAATAGACTCACAGTAACCGCCCGGGAGCATCTCCAAAGTGTGCTTCTTTAGGGTTCAGATGCTGCTTGGCAGCCTTGTGGGGTGATGCCAGCAGGAGCGGCTGGTTCGCGGGAACCGTGAGCCCCATCACATCTCGACACTTGCAACCGCGAGTCCTACGAAGCCCTGCTCGCCGCAATTCTGGCGACGAAGACAGGGACAGGGCAGGTCTGTGAACATCACAGGCCGCTGTTCCTGGACGGTGCGTGGCCTTTGTCCCCAAGGCCTCAGCGCTCAGCTCACCTGCGGAGGGCAAGGCGGAGCCTGGCGGCTGGACACTCACCCACAAGCTCCGGGCTCTGGGCTGCTCAGAGATTTCCTGGCAGAAAGATTTTTAAGTAAATGAAAGTATTTTTAAAGTACTGTAACTTAATTACAGTAAACATAATATATATTTATTTTTATGCATATAAGAACTGGGGTACAGGCCAGAGGGGTGAGAGGATTCACCAGAGACAGAGTGGGGAACAGAACAGGCAGACTGAGTGAAATACACTGCTGAGGGGAGCAGTGGGGAGACAGGAGAGGTCTGCCTCGCCATGTGGGTAGCTCCCTACCCGGGGATTGAACTCCTGCTGCAGTGGCTGGCAGCGCTGTGTCTTTAAGCCCTGCGCCACCAGGGAGGCCCACAGTACAAATGTTATCTGTTTACCACAGTTTCTCACTGTCTCTCCCACTTCATTCAGGGAATGTCTCTTTGGTATTTGAAGCCTAAGGCAGGTACCTCCTTACTCTGAAAGTTGTCAGGGAACTACTGAGTCTTAGAATTCACGTGTTTCTAGAAACAAAGGGTACAAAAAAAGCTAACCTCCCTCCAAACGGAACAATAAGGAGGGTTGTGAGCTCAGACGTTTTTTCTGTTCGGCACAGTGAGTGGCCTTTGTGAGATCTGGGGAGTGGGCTGGCTGGCCGGGCCCCCACGCAATCCAGCGACGCTGCTGGGAGGCCACAGACTGGCCCCTGGCTGGGAAGGTGCTGGACGCCTGGAACCTGGGCCCAGCTCCATGGATTCCCACCCTCTCTCCTCGAGGCCTCCTGTCCTCGGCACCCCCGGACTGAATTGTGGCGAGGATGCAGGGAGTGAGAAACAAAGTGCTTTTACTGCCACGGGAAGACTTCCTCGACCCCATCCAGGGCATCCCAAGCTACACTGCGCTAAAAGCTCCCCTTGCTGAGGGCATGGACCTTCCGGGGCCTTTCTAAGCCAAACCCAATGCAAAACGCTGGGGGCCCCTTGGCGGGAGACAAACCCAAGGCCGGGGTGCAGGGGTGAGCCTGAGGCCAGCTGCCTTCGGGGGAGGGCCTGCTCACCACACGCATGTGCCTGGGCCTGCAGGGCCAGCCCCTCCTGACTGTCCTGGAGCCTGATTCTGCTCACCCAATTCTTGGGTGTCTACCGATGCCCATGTCAGCTCGCCCCCTCTGTGGGGGCCGGGCACAGGGCAGCGGCATGTGTACAGCGGCTTTGCATCTGTCCTTCAGGAGAGCAGAGAGCTGCTCTGACAGGCAGAATCCCCCTCAGGGTAGGAAGGAAGCTGGGGGATTCTGAGCTCCCCAAAGCCACTCCCCAAGGCCACTCCCCAGCAGTTAATTGAGGAACAGCTTTGTGTGCTTTGGCTCTGTCGCTGGGCAGTCACTCAGCACTCACAGCCACACCTGATCTGACCATGGGCTTGACACAGACTCGCAGGCACACGGGCTCTAAATATCAGCCATGTGACTTGCAATGAAAAGAAAACCATGTCGGGGGGCCGGCTCCCTGCAGGTGCGTCCTTGATCTGCAACGGGGGATATGGGGAGGAGATGCGACCTCCTCCTCCGGTGGACCTTGGCTGTCTGTGTTGGCGAGCACGGAACCAGAAGCATCTGCCCCTCTGGGTGTCGCTGCAGAACGTCAGGCAGCTGTGGGTTAGGCGTGATGTAGAATGAGGGAGGGTGAAGTTCAAGGGGGGAGCTTCTGGCATGTCCTGCTGTTCGCGGCTCTGTCGCCCTGGCCTGGGTTTGGGGGGCGCTTCCTGTGTTCTCTGAAGCTCTACCCAGAGATGACAGCCCATGAATCTCCCCCTCCAAAGGTGTTTCTGAATCGATAACAATGCGTTCTACTTGCATCATGCAGACCTGCTAGCTAAGCTTTCCTCGATTTGCAGGGAGAGAATTTGCTTTGACACACAGATCTTGCCGCTCCAAGCCCACAAGCATGAAATCAAATACACGTGATAAAAAATACTGCTGTTTAATTTTCTAGTCATGTACTTTAAAAAAGCCGATACAATTAGATTTTGTTTTTACCTTCTCAGATCTGTCCCTGAAACCACCCACAGCTGTGCATATTCACCATCAGCTCTACATGGAGGAAACGCCCTTCAGAGGACACACACGTGGGTGAGGACACCCCCGGTTCCCGGGGGGCCCAGAAAGGTGACTGCAACCCCGAGCTGCTTCTGGCAACCCGATGCCCTGACAGTCTTCCATGAGGAACAAGGTGATGATACAGCACTGACACCACGCACACAGGCGTGCCTTCTTTTTGCCTTTCCAGCTTCTATTTCTCTCCCCACTCCGAGCTATACCAGCTGACCCATTTATTATAACTCCTTCCCCAGCGTGAAAAATAGTTCTCTTGTCACTTACTGGAACTTACATTTAGGTACAAATGACAGACTCGGTAAAACTGCCGCAAATAAGGTACAATGTTCATCGATACAATACGTCCCAGCTGCAGGTACGTCGAGCACACAAGCAATCGCAGTATATTGTATTAGAGACATTTTATTGAAAATGCGAAAATAGGAAATGTATTATAGCCTAAAATAAATTACATAACATATACAGTATATATTTATATCTTTAAAATATTTTTGTGTTTAGGTTCTTTCAGACTAGGAATTTTGACGAAATCAGGAATTTATTGAACTGTGTCCATAATTTTTGAAAGAAAAAACCCGCTTTCCAAAACTTAGAAAAATAGACTGCACTAAATGGATTTCAAATGTGTCATTTCAGGGAGTATCACATAGTGACTTGGATATCGTGTTTATAAAATGTCTTGCTTGGTGGTGGGGTGTGAGGGGAGCACAGAGGTACACTCTGAATCACCTGTACTGTACCGCATAGTTATGACTAAGAATGGCAGGACCAGGGAATAAATCTACTTCAAAGGTTACGATACAGCAACCTGGCATTAGAATGCTAGATTATGACTTAAAGCTTCAGCTCACTTTATAACAACTAAAACATAAAGTTAGAATGCTCCGTTTCCCTTGCTCTAGTGCCATCTTCAGGAAAGGTGAGTGAAGGGCAAGCCTTCAGGGAGACGCAAGCCTTCAGGGAGACGCATGCCAAGGAAGGCAGAAATTTGGAGATGCACGTTTGTGGCATCTCCAGGAAGTCCCTGGACGGACGCGGCGGGGCATGGAAAGTGAACGCGCGCTCCCATCTGGGACACAAGGTGAGGCTTAACGCGCATTCTGTCCATGTGCCACTCTCGTGGCCTCCTACACCTTCCTGCCAAAGAGGATCTCCCTTCGTCCCCAGCGCGTTCGCGAATCCACTCCTTCGTGTGTGTGGCCACTGCGGGCCGTTCATGACTCCATGGCGGGAGGTGCCAGCTCCCTGGACAGTCGGGGTGCTGGGAAGCCAATCAAAGAAAGTCAAGCTGTGGCCTGTTGATTCCTAAGAGAGACGCCAAGGGACAGGGGAGAGTCCGCGGCCAGCCGGGCAGCGGTGGCCTCGGGGGTGGATGGCACAGCCAAGTCCTTTGGTTCCAAGTGGAGATTGTCCGAGGGAGGAGGAGATGACGGGGCGAGGTGGCCGCTCTGTCGCTTGGGTTTGCGTGAATCAGGGGCAGGACGTCAACGGTGTTACAGAGCAATGGCAAAGGCCCGTCCAGGCCCCGCGCCAGGGTGAGCCAACCTAGCCTGCCCGAGAGTTCACGCGACACCTGGAACAGCAAGGCCTCTTCCGTGACCCAAACCAACCAACAACCCCCCGAAAGAAACAAAACACGATGGGAGAGGAGACGAGGCGCAGGTGTCCTCGCAGCTGCCTCTGCAGCCCGGGCGTCCGAGCCTTATTGGTTCTCCTCCCTCATCTCCACGACGTCCGCCCCCTCCTCCGCCGGCGGGATGTCCGTCATGGCCGAGTCCTCCCCCTCCACGGCCGACTCGTTCTCCATCTTCTTTTTCTAGAGCAGAGACGATTCATCAGCGAGCGGCAGTGACAGCATCACATCAACGTGCAGTAGGAGGGGCCCCCAGGGCCTTAGTCCTGCATATCCTGCTGGGAGCTAAGCCGTCTGGCACATCTCCCCCTGGCTACCTCCTGGGGGTCCCCTCTTCTGCATCCCTCCCTGGCTACCTCCCAGGGGTCCCCTCTTCTGCATCCCTCCCTACCTTCTGGGGTCCCCTCTTCTGCATCCCTCCCTGGCTACCTCCTGGGGTCCCCTCTTCTGCATCCCTCCCTGGCTACCTCCTGGGGGTCCCCTCTTCTGCATCCCTCCCTGACTACCTCCTGGGGTCCCCTCTTCTGCATCCCTCCCTGGCTACCTCCTGGGGTCCCCTCTTCATCCCTCTCTGGCTACCTCCTGGGGTCCCCTCTCTGCATCCCTCCTTGGCTACCTCCTGGGGGTCCCCTCTTCTGCATCCCTCCCTCACTACCTCCCGGGGTCCCCTCTTCTGCATCCCTCCCTGACTACCTCCTGGGGGTCCCCCCTTCTGCATCCCTCCCTGACTACCTCCTGGGGGTCCCCCCTTCTGCATCCCTCCCTGACTACCTCCTGGGGGTCCCCCCTTCTGCATCCCTCCCTGACTACCTCCTGGGGGTCCCCCCTTCTGCATCCCTCCCTGACTACCTCCTGGGGGTCCCCTCTTCTGCATCCCTCCCTGACTACCTCCTGGGGGTCCCCTCTTCTGCATCCCTCCCTCACTACCTCCCGGGGTCCCCTCTTCTGCATCCCTCCCTGGCTACCTCCTGGGGTCCCCTCTTCATCCCTCTCTGGCTACCTCCTGGGGTCCCCTCTCTGCATCCCTCCTTGGCTACCTCCCGGGGTCCCCTCTTCTGCATCCCTTCCTGACTACCTCCCGGGGTCCCCTCTTCTGCATCCCTCCCTACCTTCCGGGTTCCCCTCTTCTGCATCCCTCCCTGACTACCTCCCGGGGTCCCCTCTTCTGCATCCCTTCCTGACTACCTCCTGGGGGGGTCCCCTCTTCTGCATCCCCCTGACTACCTCCTGGGGTCCCCTCTTCTGCATCCCCCTGACTACCTCCTGGGGTCCCCTCTTCTGCATCCCTCCCTGACTACCTCCCAGGGGTCCCCTCTTCTGCATCCCCCCTGACTACCTTCTGGGGGTCCCCTCTTCTGCATCCCTCCCTACCTCCCAGGGGTCCCCTCTTCTGCATCCCTCCCTGACTACCTTCTGGGAGTCCCCTCTTCTGCATCGCCCCCTGACTACCGCCTGGCTCCTCTGGAATCAGTGTCAGCTGTTGCACCCTGGCCCTGTCCGGGCACTGCTTCCCTGCAGCCTCCTCCATGGAGGCTGAGCCCTCCCCAGTGCTCCTCGCGGCCCGGTGCAGACCCCTGTTCCTGGGATGAGCCCGCAGTGTCATCTGACCCCTCGGTGCCAGCTCCGGACGGCTGTCGTCCTCGCCTGCCTGCTCATTGAGCCTCATTCCTGGTGACTGCCCCACCGCGCACCTGCCTTGCCAGCTGGGGCCTTTCCAGGTCGGGACCTCCTCTTTGGGATCCCTTCCCAGCCCCACCCCGCCACTCAGGGACTCCCTGCGGACCCTGTCATCATCGAAACATTCAGCCGCCGCCCCCGCCTGCCAGCACCTACCCCCAGGACACTGCCCCCCTAATCCACAAGCTTTCCTGTCCCTTCTCCCCTCTTTCATCAGCGTCAATTAAATATCAGTAATTACAACCGCGTCCTCACTCCCTTTCTGTCATCATCTTCGCCAGGAAAAACCCTGACCTTGTTCGGGTCCAAGCCTCTGCCAGTTACCCTGGAGGGTGTGGTGGGGGCGTGTCCACACTGGCGTCTGGGGGTCCCCCACACCCCCACATTCGCCTCCTCTCCCCTCTACCTGCCTCTCCTCCCTGGGGACCCTCCTCCCTTCTCTGTTGACTAATGTAAATGGAGCTCCTGCTCCTGAGCACTCAGTCCTAGGACCTGCCCCAAAGAATCAGATACACATGCTGGACATGCGGGGGTGGGGTGGGGTGGTATGTGGGGTGTGTGTGTGTGTGTGTGTGTGTGTGTGTGTGTGTGTGTGCAGCCTTCCTGGTGTGGGAGGGGAGCGGGGGTTGAAAAGCGAGAGGTCTGGTGGAGGCAGGAGTGGGAAGGGGTGTGTGTGTTTCCACAGGGGCCATTCCTGAACCCCAAGGTCTGTGCTAGCGGGACTCAGAGGAGGGATCCGCAGGGGAGGGGGGATCACCTGGGCTTTCCTTGCATGCACAAGCCATCATGGAGTTTCTACCTTTTTGAAATCTCTAGATGCTCCATGAGAAGAGAGCAACATAACTGACATGTATCCTTTAGAAGTTTTCTCTGAGCAACACGACTGCCTTTGAAGCGGGCCGGCGCGGGGGCGGGGGACGGGAGCAGCTTGCCTAGTAAGGGTCCAGTGTCAATAAATCTGACCGAGAGCCAGGCTAGTGTGGCCGCGGGGCTGCTCATGCAGGGACTCCAGTCCCGGGGCGCAGTGTGGGTTCTGCTGAGACTCCAAGTGCGTGGGAGGTGACTCCCCCACGGCCCCTCCCCCGCCCCGGGTCCGGATGCCTGGCAGGAGGCGGTGGGGCTGGGGCGGGTGCGGCGCTGCCTCACCTGTTTCCGATACACGTAGCACGCGGCGATGGCCACCATGGTGGACTCGCCCACGAACCCCGCCAGGAGGGAGCCCACGCCCAGGGTGGCTCCGTGAACCCTGGGGAGGAGGCAAAGGCCAGTTGTTAAAGCCCAGTGGCTGGTACAGTCAAAGCCCAGCCCACGGGGCTCAGCCCGGGAAAGGGGTAGAGGAGGAGGGGCCGGGTAAGGGGCATCCGAGCTCCTCTGGAAAGGCCGAAGCTAGTAACCGGTCTGCCGCGTGGGGTCAGACCCGGCCCTGGAGCCAGCTGCCTCCCACGCCCCCAGGTCTCTGCTGCCTGGGCGCTCACTCCTGCTCCCTTCCCGGGAGGGCAAAGGTGACATCCCCCTGTTCTCTGTCACCGTCCTGGGCTTCTCACGCCGTGGAGGTGCTCAGTGACCACCGCGTGTGGGCCTGACCCAGAAAGCCCTTCTCCAGACGGGGACCAGCAGCCTCCCAGCCCTCCCGGCAGGCGCCAGATGCCGCCTGCCCGCCCAGGCCTGCAGGTTTCACCCGACAGGTAGACACAGGCCCCGGGACAGAGAACTCATGTGCCTGTGGATGTCCTGGGAGAGTCCAGCACCCCCACCTCGCCAACCCCCTCCCCCTCCCGGCCTGGAAGGTAGGAGCAGGGCCTCTGCGCAGGCTCAAGCCAGAGCAGGCTGATCCTGTTCCCTGCGGCTGCCTGAGGGCAAAGCGGCCTTCAGCTGCCAGCCGGTCCAAGGAGCCAGCTGGAGATTCTTAACAAAGGGTGCAGGGGTTGAGTCTCAGCACTATCATGCATCATTGCTGCAGCCTGGGCTCCATCCCCGGCCAGGGAGCAACCCACGCGGCGCAGCAGACCTCTCCCGTCACCCGCTGCTCCCCTCAGCAGTGGATTTCAGTCAGTCTGCCTGTTCTGCTCCCACTCTGTCTCTGGTGAATCCTCCCCAGTACCCCACCTCTGGCCTACACCCCGGCTCTTGTATGCACAAAGCAATAAATCTTTAACAAAAAACAACAAAGGGCAGGGAACTTTGTATCTTCAAGGGGCATCTTGACAAGTCAAGGACGTGAGGAAATGCAGTGCGTAGACAGCACCCACATTTCTTCAGGCCAACATCACTTAGGAATGCAAAGATCTACACGAACAGAGGAAACCCAGAGGTCCCTGTCAAGACGGCTCTGGCCTCAGTCACCCACTGCTCCTTGCCTCTCGCACGCCCGCCACCCTGTAACTCCTGGGCCTAAACTTGCTCGGCTGCAGCCACAGCTTCCCAGGCACGAGCCCACGCTGAGCGTCTCAGCGGCTCCCAGTGCCTCACCACAGGCAGACGCAGCCCCAGGCCCCGACCACCTACCCCAGGTAGGGCAGGACCACCAGGCTGGTGATGAGGACGATGATGCGCAGCACGGAGCTGGGGGCCAGCACGAAGGTCTTCTTCAGCGTCATCAGCCACCCGGTGAGGTGGGCCCGCACGGTGACTGCGGAGAGCCGAGCACGCGTGAGCAACGCCCGCTCCTCCCCGATGCCCCCTGCCCAGGCCCGCCCCCGCCCCGCCCAGCCTCAAGCTCCGACTCGAGAAAACGCAGCAACGCAGCTGCTTGATGGCCGTCAGGTGAGCCTCTGGGAAGGGGCTGACGGAAAGTCTGGGCCTCCCGCCCCATCCTGTCGGAGACATGGAGGCAGAGGAGGGGCGAGGAACGGGGCTGCCCCGTGCGCTCCCCATGCTGCCTCCCCTGGTCCCCAAGCGCCGAGAGAGGGGCAGATGGGGCAGGGCAGCCAACCGCGACGCGCCGAGACCACGAGCGAGCTGGGCTGGAGGGTGCAGGGGACTCGTGCCTCAGGCCCTCCCGCGCTGTACCTGGGACCGGGAAGAAGGAGAAGATGCGCAGGGGAACCACGCAGAGCTCGGCGAAGGCGAAGTCCACGCCAATGATGTCTATCAGGATCTTCTCCGAGACGTTTGGGGTCCAGAACATCACAAAGCAGAGCTGGGGAGGAGGAGGCCGCGAGGTCGTGAGCAACGGGCTGGGGGAGTCAGGGGTCCCTGCCGCCCCAGGAGGCCGGCTCCCCCCTCTCCAGCCACCACCCCTGCCAGTGGGTCCGGCTGCAGGGGCCACTTCTGCCCCCAGGGACCCCGGCAACAGGGGGGCGGGGGGATGCACCCCAGCGGGTGCCCAGACCGGAGAGGGAGACAGATCTGAGGCCTCCGGCAGGGGACGGGGGTCAAAACAGGGGCGGAAAGAGCACAGGAGGGCGGAGATGAGTCACGGGGCTGTGGTGGTGGGAGAACAACTAGGGGGACTGCACCTGAGGGGAGAACCAATTACTGTCCGAAAATGAACAATGATGTAAGAAAATAAATTAATAAAATTTCAAAAACTCTCCAGGCCTCCCTGGTGGTGCAGGGGTTAAGTCTCAGCACCGTGAAGCTGTCCGCAGCCTCTGCAGCAGGAGTTCGATCCCCGGCCAGGGAGGCGCCCGCATGGAGCAGCAGACCTCTCCTGTCTCCCCACTGCTCCCCTCAGCAGTGTGTTTCAGCCAGTCTGCCTGTTCTGCTCCCCACTCTGTCTCTGGTGAATCCTCTCACCCCCACACCTCTGGCCTGTACCCCAGTTCTTGTATGCATAAATAAATAAATCTTTAAAAAAATAAAAATTAAAAAATCTCCAAAAAAAGACAGTTTCTGAGACATTAATAAGATGAAAGCAAAAAAAGAAAAACCCATGATATGACAGTGGGAGCAAGTTGGAGAAATGCACAACACAGCTAGCGCAGGACAGAGACCCGGGGAGTTCACGAGAATGGGTGGTAAAAACACGCAGTTGGGGTGACAACACCGGGAAGGAGGACGGGGGGCGTGGACGGCAGTGGCCCCCCCACAGCCTGGCGAGGTGTGAGTGGGCGTCACACCCAGGTGGTGTGATCACACGCCACGACATTTGCACAACGGCGAAATCACCAAAGATGAATTCTCAGAGCGCGCCCCCTTTACTCAGCAACTCGGCTTGAATGAAAGCCCAGTGTAGGGGGCCCGGCACTCAATCATCTGAGCTCCAGAAGAGAGAACAGAGAAACCCAAGCGCCGAGGGCCGTGCGTTTCCAGGCCGCGTCTCCATCACGTGGGCAGCGGGTGGACAAAGGCCCGCGGGACAGGCGCTGGGCGTGGGGCAGACCAGAGGCCGAGCGGCTGTGGACGCAGGGAGCTCGCACCCAGGGCTGGAGCGAGACATGGAGACGCGAGACATGGAGACACAAGACAGGAGGGAAGCGGTTTCTATCCCTGCACCCCAAACCCAACTATGGATCAAGTGTGCTCAGGAGAAACACATCTCCAGCGACCTCGAAAAATCCACCTCCCACGCACCTTGTTCCCCAGCAGGGAGTACGCTCCGCGGAGCTGGCGAGACGGGAAGAGACACGAGTTCCGTCAGAAGGAAAAGGCAGGGGAAATGCCTGGGAGAGCTGGGGCAATCCCAGGAGACCTGGACAGCCCCACAGGCCAGAGGCCTTGGCTGGTCAGAGGCCCTTGGAGATGCAACCCTAGCGGGGGCTTCCACAGTGAAGGGAAATGCGGGAGTAAGCGAGAGGTCAGTCCCCAGGAAGCGAAGAAAATGATGATCAAGACAGTGATGAAGTCCAGGTGATACTAGAGCTTTCTAAGAAAGCTCGTCTAGTGGATTACGAACCCTGAATTTAAAAGTCTAACAAGCAACTTTAGCAGAGGGTGTTAAAAAATGCACCCCCACTGCACCCTTCCCCTGATGCAGTACCCACCCCCACACGGACACAAAAGGAAAAATACTTCCCGAGATGTGAGATGGAGCAACTGGGAGCTCGGAGACTTTGTTACTCAGAGGCCCGCACAAGTGTCCCCATCATCTGCTCCCCCAGCAAGGTCGCCGGCGCGACATGCTGAGAGGCACTCACGCCCACAGCCCAGGGCCAGCGATTTCATTTAGAACTTCAGGGGGACACTGAGCACAGCATCGGGGGACGATCCATCTCCCTGACAGAGACAGATGGCGCGCCCCTCCTTCCAACGCCCCGCGGCAGTGGAGCTGTAAAGAATTAAGCAAGCATCGCCCCCTGTCTGGACTGGTGTTGCGCCTTTGACCCAGGGAGGGTCGGCCACCCTCTTCCTCAATGGTCCGTAAAAAATACCCAGGCGCATCCTGCTAAAAACTTCAGCTTCCAGAGGAGTCACTGCATGTGGTATTGATTTTGTAGCCCGCGATACTCCGAATGTGAGCGATGCCTCCGTCACAATCGCTCTGTGCTTTGCAAAATCACTTTCAGGTGGCGGCGGGCTGCTGGGGGGCTGGTCACCCGAGGTGTGATGGGGAGCCCTGCTTTGCTCCCCTACCGATGCCACAGGCATCTTGACCTATTCCTGGGGGGTGCCATTGCTCGGAGGAGCCCTGCTTCCTTTCCTTGGGAAGTAAATAGAAAAACCAAGACCTGGGTATCTGGGTGGGTGGTTCTTGCTGCTGGCTGCACCCTGATGAGATACACTGACAAAAAGCTCTGCAGCAGAAAACCCAGCCCCACAGCTGCTCTGAGGAACAAATCTCGTTCATTGTCAGGAGTTTGTAGGTTTGGGTTCCGGCTTGGAAAAGCCGATGTCATTAGACTCTGCAAATATTTGGGGAGCAGAGCATGTCTAGGTCATCTGGGGGGCCAGTCCAGAGTCAGGACTTCAGAGGGTGAGCTTTTTAGAGCTCTGCATATGAAGTCACAGAATCCTCAGCTCCAGCTGGGTAAAGCCGAGCATTGAAGAGCCCCCTTTGCTTCCTTTTGGAAATGAAGATAAGACCTGCCTGCCCGCCTCTCTCTCCATGTGCTTCATCGTCAAAACGTAGACTGAAACTGCACATTGGCCAGTAGCGTGAGGTGTCTTTGTAAATGGGTGTCTCCAACCCTGTTCTCAACCCTGGGTGGATGGAGCTTCGTGGTAACTGCTGCTTTGCTGAACTGCAAGCAAGTGTGCTTTACAAAGTTAATATGATAATTATAGTCTGGGATAAAACTGAGTTTCAGAATAAAATTAGGAACAGCAAAATCCAAAAACTAGGTAAACAAAAACTCTCATTTTGTCTATGAAGTATATTTAAGGACTGTTCCGCTGAGATTCTATTTGTTTTCCTTGGAAGAACGAAGGGAGAAATAGAATATCAGTAGCTGGCTAGTTACGAGGGTGTGCACTTAATGACCTTAATGTATTTTCCATCACCAGATTCAAAAGTTCCGTACCGAGATTTTTAAAAAAAAAAATGCATTTCATGACACCAGAAGTGGTAATTTCTTCCCAAACCAATACAAATATTAGAGCTCAGGGGGAGGGGAAGGGAGGAAATCTATAGCTGAACACAGGCCTATTCTTAAAAATTTGTAAAGGGCCTTCCCTGGTGGTGCAGGCGGTTGAGTGCAGCGCTGTGAAGCTCTCTGCAGCCTCTGCAGCTCGGGTTCGATCCCGGCCAGCAAAGGTCCCACATGGCGCAGCAGACCTCTCCTGCCTCGCCCGCTGCTCCCCTCAGCAGTGCTTTCAGTCCGTCTGCCTGTTCTGCTCCCCACTCTGTCCCTGGTGCATCCTCTTACCCTCCCGCGCATCTGGCCTGTACCCCGATTCTTGTATGCACGAATAAATAAATCTTTAAAAAAAAAAAGTCCTACTTAAAACAAAATTTAAATGGGTTTCTTTCTTGAAAAAAAATCAGCATATCAGGGTTATAAAGTGCTGTCGTTAAAAATAATTTCGAACAAATAGTTTGCTTTCAGATGCACAGCTTTCCAATTATAATCTCATACTAATTAAATTTGTAAAGCTCCAAAAAAGAATATAGAAACCAAATTACCTACGATATCATTTAGAGTTAATGAAACTGCCAAATACACACATTTCATTATAACAGTTGGGGCGTCTTTCATAATTACGAAGACTTAATCCTTAGTAAGGAGTGTTGTGGGAAAATAGATTTCAAAAATATACTTCAAACAGCAGGGGGTGCCATGCACCAAGCCTGAGGAGGCCCCTCAGGCTGTCAGCTCCAGCCTGTTCCATCTGAAGATTGTCTCCTTCCTATTGTTACCTGACTGGAAAAATAGGAAGCCCCACACCTCAGGTTCTTCAAATTGACGGTCTGGTCAGACTGGAACTCGTGTGGGGTGAGGGAGGGGTTTCTGTTTGACAGTATCGTTTCAGGTTTGCAGTTCTGCTGAGGAAGATGGTGGAGTTGGTCGTGCGTCAATCAATGCACTGACCTGTCCACTCAAGAATGGTCACGATGCCACATGTGCATTTTTTCTGGCAGGTAGGCCCTGGGTTGGCAGGCGGGGGGTGGGAGACTGGCAGGCCTTCCAGCCCCGGCAAATCTATACACTCTCCTGGGCTCTCTCGTGTTCTCTCGCGGTCTCTTCCTATCATAGCTGTTCCGCCATAACCGTTCTCCACCACTCTCTGTCGCAGCCGCTCCTCCATCATGTTAGCCCCTGCAGGCTCAGCCTCCAGGCTCAGGTGGGCCCACTCACACAGGCCCAGAGGCTCAGGTGGGCCCACTCATGCAGGCCCACAGGCTCAGGTGGGCCCACTCATGCAGGCCCACAAGCCACGAGCCCCGAGCCTGCGCTCCCAAGCGCCTCCTGCATTCAAGGCTGCAAGTGATAGCTACAGAGGCCAGTAGTGCAAAAGCCTGAGCATTTTCATTTGCTCTCCCAGCTGGCCAGGGAGATACCCACATGGTGCGGCAGACCGCTCCTGTCTCACCCGCTGCTCCCCTCAGCAGTGTACTTCAGTCAGTCTGCCTGTTCTGTTCCCCACTCTGTCTCTGGTGAATCCTCTCACACCCCCACGCCTCTGGCCTGTACCCCAGTTCTTGTATAAATAAATACATCTTTTAAAAAAAAGCATTTTAACACAATTTAAAAAAAATTTCAAAGTTGAAACCTGCCGCTACTCCACATTATACTCAGTCATCTCTCTTGCTTTAAGAAT